CCTGCCCCACCTTTGGGAGGGTTGTTTGGTCATTTATTTACCCTCTCCCACCTCCAAACAAATCACTATGGCCCTGGCATCTCTGGCAAACTCACCCCAGCAGCCTCGGAAAACCTGACTGCTTAATCACAGTCCTGATCTATGAGTTCACACTGGTTATACACAGGGTTTGATATATGTATCTGGCTGATAGAAGTGTCAGTCTACCCAGTATCAGGCGACTTTGGCTGCCATTATCTACAAGGGACATTGTGAGCTGGACAGAACTCGCTATGTCTCTGGCAGGGTTACTGCCCCAGATGCAGAACTCAATGCCATTTCGTGTGCAGTTCACCTTGCTGTCAAGCAGGTGAATTGCCAGCATATCATGGTCTTTACTGACTCTATGGGCTCAGCCCACAGGGCGGTGGACCCCTCCATACATTGGGTCAGGCTTTTAGTCTGTCAGTTTGTCATGCTCTCCAAGAGTGGTTTGAGGTGGATGACCTCTGCCACATCACCTTTGTATATGTTCCATCTGCTTTGCATTGGGACATTCATGGCAAGGTGCACAAGTATGTTACTGAGCTCAAAGTCAGGGTTGGACATTGCAAGACAGACAACTTCATTGATGTGCTTTGCTCTCAAGCCACACACTCAGTCCTGGACTCATGGAGTTCTACTTTCCAGGATCTAATCTACCAGGGCTCCAAATTTTTGGAGCTTCAACGGCCTGACGGGTGGCCGATTCAGCCATCATACCTCAATGGAGGACCTTGGCTTTCATATTTCAGACACAGTATCACTGAGTTTACTCATGTCTGCTGGTGTATAACTGGCCATGCACCCATTGGAGCATACTACTGTTGCTTCAAGATCAATGAGCCTCATAGCTGCACTTGCAGGGCTGCCTTGCAGTCCTGCCAGCATGTTCTCTTTTGCTGTTGTGATAGGTATTCTACACACTATCCCCATTTTCTCAGGGATATTGCATCCTTTATGAAGTACAACCCCACAGTGTTTGGCTTCAACCAGGACCCTTCGGGTGTCAGATAATCACCACAGGCGGGGTTATTCTTCCTTTTGGAGGATTTATTGGTGAATTAACACCCTCAGCCCTTAGGGGTTAGAGACCTGTGCCTGCATCACTTATTTGCACTTGCAGCCAGCCTTCTTTGGTTGGTTGATTGCAGTGCCACTAACTTTCTGCATCTGGTTTTGGGCAGGTGCATCTTTGGCATGTCGGCCTCAAGACACCCTGCCACCTCCCAGGTGGTGCTGTTCTTATCTCATTTGCACTGCATGGCCCCAAAACAGTGTCCAATGACTATGGGGCATAGTGGGACCTTGATGGTTTCCCCCCCTTACCCCGATGCACCGTTTTCGCGAGGTGGGTTGCTCTCTGGGGAGTTTAGGTGTTTGAGCCCAAAGGGTCTTGGTTGGGGGGGGCAGACATCTTTAAGTAGTTAACCTAGTAACTGGGTTGCATAGCGTACGTGTTTGTAGATAGTGAGCAGCCTGCCATCAAGCACCGCTATATAAATTGTTGATCAAAAAAAAAAAAGTTTGAATGTGCTTCAGAAGAGAATTCAAATATAGACTTTAGCTTCAATGTGCATGCATTGTGTTCTTAAGATAGTCTAAGTCCAATGTTGAGGTATAGGCTTTAGGCTGATGTCAGATGTTAAACTGATAAAAGCAGATGAGAGTAGATGGTGACTTATCAAGAGCTTATCACGCAACACCTTCATCTGCATCTTAAACATCTTCATGATTTCATTTCGAGTTTGCTTCTGGGATGGTAACTTGACTCCATGTGTTGCTCATACTGCGATGTCCATCATCTTCTTGAATTTCAGATGGTCAAAGGCTTGAATGGGCTAGACAAAGTGTATAGTCAGAATAACCTTACTGAAAATAAAGTAGGGCTCACTTGGTTCATTTCAATAAGCCATTCAATCATGACCTCATGAGACAAATCATTGGAGTATGGCATCAGCAGAGCTTCCTTTGGTTGAGCTTCAGCTTTCGAAAAGTGGTTAGACATGCCACTTTGTTGAGGTTTTTGGGCAGCACAGTGAGCAGCGGTGTCATCAGGAAGCATTGAATCAAAATTGTTCACCTTTGCCTACTTTTGATAGAGAGACTGGGAGTGGGATGAATAATTTCACAATCAAAGTAGTTTTCTGACATACCTTATGATATGCCTGCATATGTCATTGAAGCATTGTGATGTTGCCAATGAGGATCAAGTCCTTCTTTGCACATCCTGTACCATCCTAGGTAATGTGTGTCAATGTTAAAATAGTGCATATATGCATCAAAACTCACCAGCATGACTTGCATTTCACCTTTTTCTTGTTGCTACTAGGGACATTTAGCTTCTTGAAAAAGTGGTTGACATCAGCAGTGGGTTGTTGCTTGTTTTGTGTTTGTGAAGCTTCGTCATCATCTATGTCCTGAACATGAACATCTCGATGCATTTCATCACTGTCAATGTTATTGTTTATTGAAGAAATAAGCAATATGTTACTAACGAGGGTGAGGCATACCTGATGTTGAAGCTTGCTTTTTCTTCCTTTTCTTTGGCTTCTGTTTTGGAGCTTGCTTCATCATGCTAGTAGCAGCAGGGCCTTGGGTCACCTCATTGTCAGATCTATCTGTTGACTCAATTTGGCACTTTTTGGACATGCCCACAGAAATGTCATTGTTGTCCTTAGAAGCTGCTGGCATTGTGGGGTTAGAGGAGGTGGGGGTTGGCTCAGGTGAAGGAATCAGCCCAGGTGAGGAGGGTGTGAGAGATGGTGCAGGAGTGGAAGGTCCCCCTGAGCAGCCCTAACAAGTTTCTGATGGGAGTAGCAGTTTGCCATTATTATCAGCATTGAGCTTGGGGTGAATGGTCTGTGATGGACAGGTCAAAGCCATGTTTGGTGACTGTTATTTATATCCAAACAAATTTATAATGTTGCAGAAGTCAAATTAATAATCCGATCCTATTGAGAAAACAGGCATATCATTCAAATCCGACTGTCTGAAGCTGTGGCTCAGGCCTCAGGCCCAGGCTTCAAAAATTTCAAGCCTGAGCCATAGGCCCTTCTGAGCTGTGGTCAAGGCTCAGGCTTGGCTTGGCCTGAGAGGGCCAGCTCAGGCTGGCTTAGAGCTTCAAGCCCTGGCCTGCACATCACTACTCACTCTCAACTACCCCTTCCTCATCCTTACCTGCCTTTGCAGTGAGCCCATTCTTTTCTATCCAACTTTGCTCTAGTTCCTCTGCTCCACAGATTCCCACTCCTGCATTCTTTTGTCCATCCATCCTTACCATCTGTAATTCTATTAACTTCACTGCTCCTATTGCTGCTGTTATCTCCCAGGAAGCCATTGTCTGTCATTGGCATCATTTTGTAGGTCTCAACCCTCTCAATATCCTTCCCCTCATTGACTTCCTCATTGGTGTCAGCATCACTCACAAAACCACTTACAACCTCCATTGCCGCATTGACTGGAATGATGCACCTCCAGAGTGTGAATAAGAAGGAGCACATTGGATTTGCCCTTGGCAAGTATCCACAGAGTTGATTGTGGGAACAGCAAGGCTGTAAAGGCTGCTGGAGTGAGATGGAGAGGTTGTGAGACAGAGGGGTATGTGCCCCCACTCGTTCAAGCTACACCAAGTTTGTCTGATTATTTCACATTGCAGCATTTCACGGTATGTCCTTTGCATGCTCTGGTGACAGATCTATGAAAAGCAAGGGCACATAGTAGGGGAGTGCAATGGGTAACAGTATAACATAAAGTTGGTGCATTTTTTCCTTTTTTTTTTTTTTTATCAACAATTTATATAGTGGTGCTCGGTGGCAGCCTGCTTGCCATCTACAAACACGTACACTATGTGGCCTGGGTACTAAGTTAACTACTGAAAGACGACCGCCTCCCCAACCATGAGCCTTGTGGCTCAAACACCTAAACTCCCACAAAGCCAGACCCACCTTGTGAAAACGGTGACGTAGGATAAGGGGAGGAGACCATCGAGGCCTGCTAAACCCCAAAGCCGTTGATTGCTGTTTGGGAGTTACACAGCGCAAATGAAATAAGAGTTGCACCACCCGGGAGGTGGCAAGGTGTCTTAAGGCCAACAAGCCAAAGAAGCGCCTGCCCGAAACCAGACGCAGAGAGTTAGTGGCACCGCAACCTGCTATATTGGCGGGCTGCAAGTGCAAAGAAATAGTTGCAGGCACAGGTCTCCAAACCCTAGGGCTCAAGGGTGTCAATTCACCGATAAATCCTCCAAAAGGAAGAATAACCCTGCCCACAGCGATTATCCAACACCCAAGGGGTCCCGGTCAAAGCCAAACACCATAGGGTTATACTTCATAAAGGATGCAATATCCCCGAGAAAACGGGGATAGTGTACAGAATATTGATCTGGCAGCGAAAGAGGACATGCTGACGGGACTGCAAAGCAGCCCTGCAAGTGCAGCCATGAGGCTCATTAATCTTGAAGCAACAGTAGTATGCTCCAATGGGCGCATGGCCAGTTATACACTGGCAAACATGAGCAAACTCAGTAATACTGTGTCTGAAGTATGAAAGCCAAGGTCCCCCATTGAGGTATGATGGCTGAATTGGCCTCCCATCAGGCTGTTGAAGCTCCAAGAATTCAGAGCCTCAGTATGTACGATCCTGGAACTTGGAGCCCCATGCATCCAGACTTGAGTGCGCAGCTTGAGAGTGGAGTGTGTCTATTGAATTGTCCGTATTGCGATGTCCAACCCTGACTTTGAGTTCAGTGACATACTTGTGTGCCTCACCATGGATGTCCCACCACAAAGCGGATGGAACATATACAAAGGTGATGCGGCAGAGATCATCTGCCTCGAACCACTCTTGGAGAACAGCATTTTTTTTCCCTTCCTGCCTCATGAATTGATACTCATTTGCTTCACTACAGTTCTCTCATTTTGCTGCCTGCAAATACACATCCTCTGCACCTGTGAGTGACATGCAATGATCAATTCTCAACACATAAGGATGTTGTCAGTCCTTCCATGATTACCTCCCTACCATACAAATCTGTCTGTTGTAGAATAGTGAATAAAAATGGGTTTTGAACCCCTAAACATGCCTGAAACTTGGATGACAAGAAACTTGAATAGCCTGGTGGGTGCTTTCTGGTGTCTGATTTTGTCTGACTGTCGACTGGAGTGCTCTTTTGTCAGATTTTGGATCTGTTTCCAGAAGGGACACCACATGGAATCAGACACCATGACTGGGTGTCTGAATCATCTGAATCTATCTGAATTGCTTGATTCAGATGTTTCCAGATACCTGCCCATTTGCTGATGTAGCTTTGACTTGGTTTAGCTTTAGTTCTGACACCAACACTCCCAGAAGGCTTTTTGAGGAGAGACTGGGTCTAGGGAATGGCACAGGTAGAGCAACCCATGCGGGTAGACCCACGGGTTGCTCTGGGGTATGGGTACAGGTTGGCATTTTTTGACCTGTGCCCAACCTGTACCCATGGCACAGGTAACAGGGGTTTGGCCAAAAGTTTGGCCAAATTTCAAACTCAGCTGATGGGCAATCGCAGCTGTGATCCCCTTTCCCTCTCCCCCTCAGCAACAACAAAACATAATGAAGGCAGATCATCTTGCAGTGGCTGCCAAGTATTGAGGGGAGGAGCATGTAAGGGGAGACCCAGCAAGGGGGGACCCACTAGGTGAGTTGTGACCATCTCACAAACAATAGCACCTGTGTCCCCTTATATACAATGTAACAGATGATGACTATGTTTTTAATTTTGGGGCTGCGGTAGCTCAGGTGGCACTATTGCGGACTTACCCCCAGGCTTGCGTTGAGCTCTTGAGTTCGATTCTCGCTGGTTGCATGGATAAACACACTTTAGACACCATGTGACTTTTCCACGCCCCTGGATGACACCATCTGGGCCTCTGTATTAGGGAGCGACTACGTCTCACAGGTTCTAGACCCAAGGGTCTGGAGTGACCGTACCTATGCATGCTCACATAATGATATCAGGGTCACCTGGTTCTCCTTAGTCATCGAAAAAATGGCTATGCCAGGAAGGGAAAAAGGGAGCCAAGGGACAAGGTTGTGTGGATCTGCCGCTATGCGGCGAGACGGCTAGAGCCGACCCTTTGGGACAAGGTTCACATGATCTGCTGGAGCCTCCTGGGCATTTCAGTGCACTGACTTCCCAGAGTACATAAAGCAAACCAGCGAGATGGCTAGAGCTGACCCCGAGGCGTTAATACCAAAGTACTGGAGGGTGGGAGTGAAACTACATGAAATGGCTAAAGTTGTCTCCTAACACGGACCGCCAAAGAACCATGTGGCACGTGAATGATGGAACAAACCCAAACCCATAGGGAGGTTGTGTTGGATGCCGGTCACATGAACAGCTGCTTTCGGGAGCTAGGGCATTACTATGTGCGAATATACGCAATCTTATGCTTAGGTATATTGAAGCCCTGATTAGTGTAAATAGTTACGGGATGTCATGTTAATTGGTATGATCACAGACACTTAAAGTATTACTTAGGTCACACCGTTGATAGCCTGAGGATTGGATGTTCCCTTATGGTCATGTATGAAATGATCCTTGTAAATCAATAAAGAACCACTTTCATTCATGATGACTATGTTCCAGACATATGTCTGTAGCGAACCTGGCAAACCATTCTACAAGGTATCTGATATGACCCTCCACTGGAGTGATTATCCTGTATCGCCTCAGACCCTCCGCCAGTCTTGGCCAGCCAGTCTTCAATTTGACTTGGCTGGGAAAAGCTGATAGCACTCTCTGGTCATCACATGCCCCCCTCAACCATTCTGCTCTCCAGCTCAACTATTCTTCTCTCCGGCTGCTGCACAACCTCCCACCATTCTGCTCTCCAGCTGGTGCATGCACCCTCAACCAATGTCCATTCTGCTCTTACTGGGGACAAGCACTCTTTTCCTTGGGATGCTTAGTGCTCCCTTTTGGAATGCTTGATCATGGTGAGCGCCCTTTTTTTGTGGTCTTATTTTGGCATGACGTGATCCTCTTCAGCGTGCGTCCCCAGATCAGGGAGTGTAAGCGCTCCTCTTTCCCTATCATGGCCAGTGCACGCCCCTCAACCATTCAGCAACGGTTAGGCTGCCCTCCAAATAGAGTAACTCAGATAGGCTAGGGAGTGAAAGATAATATTTTGAATATTTATCCCTTCATAATCAAAAGATAGAACAAAAATTCTTCTGAGATCAAAGACCAGAATGCAAAGACCCTCAGCTTCAAATAAGCGCCAACTTGAACTCTGTTCTTTCTGGCAGGAACTTTCCTGTTCACAGGTGCTTGATTGGCAAATTCAACTGCACGTATGATGAACAGGGACTGAAATAATGCAATTGGTGTACTACTAAATCAAACAAACCAAGACTTAATCTGCAATTCCACCCTGACTAACCCTTCCCATACCTTGTGAACGGCATCGACGGATGACTGCTGTACTTTGTACTTGTTTCTGGTCAGGGTAGCCACATAATTCACCATGTTCATATATGTAGAATAGTTACTGGCCAAGATTTTGAGAAGTTGGCGGTGGACTCGGATCATTTCATGAGGTGTAGGCTGCTCCTCTATCAGTAGTCCGAAGTCTACTTGTGAAATAGAAAAAGCTCACTGGGGAAGGTGAGTTGAGAGCTTCTTCTTCTGCCATTGCATTCGCCTGTATAATAGCCTCCGTTCTCTCAAGAAACCCGATATGTTGCCTTTCTGAATTTGCATCTTGCACTGGAGGCTCCCACCAAGCCTCGCTCTCCGGACCGACAATGGATGGCGGAAGCTCATGTCGAAAGATGGCAGCCTTGCTGTCCAGGCTGGCAATGGGAGGAAGCTCGCGTCGAAAGATGGACGCTTCGCTCTCTGGACTGGCAATGGATGGTGGAAGGGTGCGTCAAAAGATGGAGGACTCGTTCTCTGGACTCAAAATGGATGGCAGAAGTACCTGTTGAAAGATGGAGGCCTCGCTCTCCGGACCGGTTATGAATGGTGGAAGCTCATGTTGAAAGATGAAGGCCTCGCTCTCTGGACCAGCGACAGATGGCGGAAGGGTGCATCAAAAACAGGGCGTCATGTTGGGGGGAGTGATTAATGACAGCCTCTTAGCCAGTCGTTCAATAGGGATTGAAGCATGACGGAAGATGGGAATTGGAGCTGGGGAATGAGTATGGAGATGTTGAGGAATTAGCCATGCATTGCTGACATCTGTTTGTTCGAAGACTTGCACCTGGGATTCTACTTCTGGTGAAGCAATTTGGCCACAGATGTCGGAGCACCGTGGAACCGGGGTACTCCTTGCGTCTGTGATGCACAATGGTGTGTCTCACCTGAAGACCTGGGCAGGCAGGGATGGGTAACTTGAGCCCGCACCTGAGCAATGTGAGTAACATGTGTCAAGCTTAGCAAATGTGCCAGCCATGTCAGCTAGAAAACTATATCAGACACTGTATTTAAACAAAGTATGCTTATAAGTCAGGACTGTCAGTTTACAGTCCCCTTCTCTAGCTATAAAAATGTATCAGATCTGTATTTTTACAAGTATGCTCCTAGAACATCATTGTCATAGGAGGGAAATGTGACTGATGCCAAGACTGAGGGTAGGTCATGTGACTTTTTAATTGCCTTTTCCTTCAGGGTCAGCCTTCGAAACTTTGATATTATGGCCTCAAAAGGAAACAATTAATAAATACATGATTGCCAGGCCCATACTTGGCATTGATGAAGAGCAATAAAGCCATCAAGTTTGCTGATGCCATCAACATCAAAGTCACATATAACAAGTTGGACTTTGCAAAAATTTGCTCAAGTCCTCTTCTGCTATATCTAGACAGGGACTAGGGGTGCCAGAAATGCGAAATTGACAGGTCACATGACTGTGAGAAATTTCCTTTTTGGGAAGAGATGGTTGAAATAGAAACCCTGGGCCTAGGTGACCCTGCCACCATCAGCATGGCCTATTTGGCTCCAGCAATGACAAGATATAAGCCAAACAATCCCAAAAATTGCAAAATGCAAACCGTTTTCTCAGTAATTCACATTTTTCTTGCCAACCAGAGCACCTGATGGCATCAAACAACTTGATTCAGGGTTGCCCAAAGGTGCTCCATGAACCCAGATACTTTTTTTCCAAAAATAAATAATTATTAATCATCTCATTTGCCTTGTTAGACTGACTGTAAACTGACAGTCCTGACTTATGAGCATACTTTGTTTAAATACAGTATCTGATATATTTTTATGGCTTATAGAAGTGGACTTCTGTAGCCCCAGTGTCAGGCATCATGCGCTGGAACACGGGAACAGAATGGGTTTGCTGACCTGCATGCATGTAGCCTGTAGAAACATGGGATGCCATGAGAGACCCAAGTTCCAGAGGGATTGACCTTTTGAAGATGGGCTGATCTGAATCCAGATGCCAATTCTCGTTATTCTGCATGTCGATTTGAATGAAGGACGTAGGTGGAGTGGTTGGGGTTTATCTCGCTAAACCGACCTGAAAATTTATCTGTTTGCAGGGGTTGCATTGGGTCACATGGTTGATAGATAAATATGGGCCTCTTTGACTAGAAGGAAAAGTACCTGCTGCACAACTCCTCGCCCATGTCTGCTATCTCTGACGTCACCACTCTGCCCACTGTTATTCAATATGCACTTGGATGGGAGCTGCAAGTCCGCCACATCTTTTCACATACTGGAATGACTTGCAACCAGAAAGTCACACAATATGCTGTGGAGTACCCGTTCTCTCAGTCGAGAGCTGGTGTGCACAACATTTTCTAACTCCAGCACCAATCTCCTTACATTTCTTTCAAAGCTTGCGATGATCTCACACATCTGGAAAACGGAATTCCCCTGCAACCTATTCATAGTTAAACACGTCAGCCATGCTGTCGAAAGCAGTTTCTTGGCATTCAATGCTTCCAAGCACTTCGAAGAAATGCAACAGACCCTTGCGACTTACGACGCCCACCATTCTGCAGCTCTGGAAGAATATCTGTCTGGGATGCAATATCTGCCTCACGTTCAGGAACAACTTCGGCAGCTGGTTCCCAACACAGCCAGTGCTGTCAGTGATATATATGAAGCTGGGCAGTTGCCCAAAACTGACGATGCATCAGGGAGGGCAGTTCCCTAGCCCTATAAAACAGAGGCAATTGCCCTCTAAAAATGATGTAGAGGGGTGTTATGGACTGTGATATGTGACAGATGCCAAGTAGATCAACAAGTCATGTGACTTTCAACTTGCCTTTTTCTTCATGCTCAGCCTCTGAAACTTTGATATTCTGGCCTCAAATACAAACAAATAGTAAATATATAACTACCATGCCCAGCATTGGTGTGATGCAAATGCAATAAGTCCATCAAAGGTGCTGATGGCATCACAGAGTCACATGTTGTAAGTTGGACTTTGGCAAAATTTTCTTAAAGTCTCTTTATATCAAGCATTAGACAATGGCTAGAGGCTATTGATATTTCTTCAAATAACAGGTCACATGACTATGGGAATCAACTTTGTTTTGCATTTTTCTCAACAACCACTGATGCTGGTGATGTCATTCAAGTACTTTTAGATCACCTGATCATGATCTATGACCCTGCACAATTTTTTCAAAACCACCAATGTTTCAAAATTCTTTTGTGTTTTTCTCAACAATGACCAATGCTGATGATGTCATTTAAGTACCATCAGGATCACCTCAACATGATCTACGATCCTGCACAAAAAATTCCCAAAAAGAAAATTGGGCAATTGCCCAAGCTGTCACACCTAGAGCAAAACAGGCCTACAATACCAGTGTTTTAAGGCCTGGGGAACTGCCCTCTCTGATGCATCCCTCATATTGGGCAACTGCCAATAATCGATATATCAGCTAACAGCAACAGGTGCCCAACATTCCTCCACGAACGGCTTATCCTGTCAGACAGGATGGGGTGACAATGCACCCACCAGGTGTGGCCCCTCATCCAGTTTCCGGATCTAATCCTGCCCCTGGTACCTTACCACCAAATGCAACTGTGCCATCCAATGCAGCAGCCCCGAGCACTGAACATTCCATGGAAGTGCCCATGCCAACGACCAGGCCGGTGGCCCAAACAGCCAGGTCCAATACTTTCGCAGTTCATGCCACGGTGCCACCCTCTGTGCATCCAGCTGGTTCATCTGTAGCACCTGTTTCTTCTGCCAGCATCAAGGCATTAGCCCCTTCCTCGACCACAGCATTGACCAGAGACTCAGCACCTGTCCAATCATTGCCTTTGGGCTTGTCTGCTAAGTCTGCCCTACCTGTAGCTTCTACTCAGACGAGTGCCTCTACTCAACCCGCTCTCACGACACACGATCGTCAGGACGCCAAGCTGGGAAAGGCTCCATCTGCTGAAGTCTCGCAAACTGGTCCTGCCGTCCAGACCGCTGAGGGTTCCACCAAAAGGAAGTGACGCACAACATCAAAGCCTGTGGTCGACAACAGCGACGAGGAATCTTCTGCTCCTACTCCTCATCCGCTGCAGTGTGTCCAGTCGCCGGTTGAAGGAAATGGAGCTGGGGACATCACCCAGGCGATCAATGCAAGTCTGTCAGCTGATTTGAGTTCCAAGACCAAGCCTCCCATCCTCCCTTGTTCAAGCTGTGCAGCAGCATCGACTGCATGTGTGCATGCTCCCCGTGGAGGGAAGAACCGTTGCAAGCGATGTCAGGAGTTCAACCACCGGTGCAGCCATTCCGACTGCATGTGTTGCATTGCTCACAGCATTCCTTGCGTCACATCTGCTGCAGCTGGGAAGACTGCTTGCGAGGCTTGCAGCCAAGGCAAGGATAAATGCAGTCTTGTCCCAGAAACCAAGCCAAGGCGGCCAAAGGCCATAGTAGAAGAGATGGACGCAACAGTGGATGAAGACAAGGACAAGACACCAGCAAAATCCAAAAAGAAGACCAAGGAGAAGACTCGCGTTCAGAAGACAGGTCCCATAAAAGCACGGAAGGTTACATCCTCCACGCCTGCGCCTTCTGAGCTGTCCACACCTCTTGCGCAGTCTGTGTCTCTTGCGCAGTCCACACCTCTTGTGCCGTCTGCGCCTCTTGTGCCGTCTGCACCTCTTGTGCCGTCTGTGCCTCTTGCACCGTCCACAACCTCTCACCTGTAGTGACCAGTGATATATATCAAATTGGACTACTACCCAGTACCTATTATACATCAGGATGGGTAATAGCCTGTTGGGCAACTGCCCAAGCCCAGCTTATAGAGGACATAACAAGATGATTAATAATCATTCCTTTTTGGGAAAAAGTATCTGGGTTTGTGGAGCACCTTTGGACAACCCTGAATCAAGTTGTTTGATGCCATCAGCTGCTCTGGTTGGCAATAAAAACACAAATTACTGAGAAAACAGGTTATTTTTTGCAAATTTTGGCATTGTTTGGCTTATATCTTGTCATTGATGGAGCCAAATAGGTTGTGCTGATGGTGGCAGGGTCATCTAGGCCTAGGGTTTCTATTTCAACCATTTCTTCCCAAAAAGAAAATTTCTTACAGTCATGTGACCTCTCAATTTCACTTTTTGGGCACCCCTAGTCTCTGTCTAGGTAGAGCCAAAGAGGACTTGAGCAAATTTTTGCAAAGTCCAACTTGTCACATGTGACTTTAATATTGATGGCATCTGCAAACTTGATGGCTTTATTGCTCTTCATTAATGCCAAGTATGGGCCTGGCAATCATGTATTTATTAATTGTTTCCTTTTGAGGCCATAATATCAAAGTTTCGGAGGCTGACCCTGAAGGAAAAGGCAAGTAAAAAGTCACATGACCTACCCTCAGTCTTGGCATCAGTCACATCTCTCTCCTACAATAATGACGTCTCTCTATGTTCTTGTGAGACGTCTTGGGCAGTTGCCCAATGGACTACTACCCATCCTGATGTATAATAGGTACTGGGTAGTAGTCCAATCTGATATATATCACTAGATGACAAGGCTGGACCTCTGCACCTTCCATGCCTTCTGTGCCCTCTGTCCCAGATTTGGGTGAGCTAGGTTCATGATTTTACATTTGATTTTTGACCAATTCTCAAGGAAACATTATAGCACCGGTTGCTGGCATTGAAGAACTTAAGGCTTACATTAAAACCTTTGTCAATGATCAGGTTCACCTCTAGGAGACTATCGGTCATCTTGAGAGCCAAGTACTTGAGCTGGAGACTTCAAATACCTCCTTGTTGCAATTTATGACTTCCCAGATGGGTCATCTGGTCAACGTGAACTGGGTTACCTCTCAGGAGGTCAAGAACAGCTTCCAATCCATCATTGAATCTCTCGCCACCCACTCAGAGAAACTCCAGCAGCTCAGCAGGAACATGTCAACCCTCAGCAGAAACACTGGTTCGACCACCCCTGCAGAAGCCTTGTCCTCCAGCCAGGTCCCTGATGGTATGCCAAATTCATCAGGGCTTTTTCAATCAGATTTCGTTGGGTTGAATACTCAGCTGAACGCAAACCCAGCTGAATTCTATCCGCAAGCGAATGTGCTCTCTCAAGGGCCAGCGAATGGGGGGTATCAGTCTGCAATGCCGACAACAGTTAACCCACAGGCATTGGTACTGCCACAGGAACCACAATTCAACTTTCCCAACACACTGATCCAGCATCAATCCAACCCAGCTATGTTCGCCCCTCCCTTTATGCCACTCATGGATCTGGCAACTGGCCTTAATGTGAATTTCCACCCAATACAACGTCCAAGCTCAATGCCCCCAGGCATGACCCTGCCCATTGCCTCCGATTTCAATCATATCAACATTGAGCGCCCAAGGTCTGGTCCAATCATAAATGGGTATACTCAAGCATTGAAGTGTTCCACAGATGGCAAACAACACCCTGACCCCAAGCGCAATCACTTTGGTTAAGTTCGGCTATGCAAAAGATCCCTTCATTCAGTGCATCATCTCCAGCAGGTACACAGCTGTTATGCTATCCACAGTTAGTGTTCTGTATTTACAGGCCTGCAATTCATGTTTACTTTGGGCTGAGCCCAAAACTATAAGATGTTATTATGTCTCAACTGTTATAGACTAAGCACCCAGATGACTCTTTGGTTTTTTACTTAAGGTCTGCCTTCTCATAGCTAGCTTCTCTGAGATATGAATATACCGGTCCTTTTCTTTTGGTCTTCGCATCTGTTTTCCACGTCCCATATTCTCGTCCCCAGGATCCAACAAGTCTTCTTCTTGCTGGCACTTCCCACTGGCACTCTCGTGATTATGCGCTTGCGCTTGGTCGATTCCCATATTTCAAGTGTTGACTGCATGGGACTGGGTGAGGAGATTGACAGATGGAGATAGCAGCAGGAGGTTTTGGTTGAAGGTTGAGATACCTGCGAAAGCTGGAATGTGATCGGCGGCGCATGTGTCGACCCAAAGATCCCCCAAGTCTTCATTGCAGAAAGACTCCGGAACCTCATCTTCACCAGGCAAGTGCAAACCACAGCCGCTTACTCCGATGTTTCTGGCTGGAGATGAAGTGTCGGGGTGTCTTACCCTGGCCGGTTCAACATCCCCAGCTGGTTCAGTGTCCCCAGCCAGTTCAGCATCCCTGTCCAGTTCAGCCTCCCCATCCAGTTCAGCCTCCCTCTTTTCTTCACCTTCCTCTGTCCCTGAAGTGGAACTCGACTCCGACTCGCTACCTGAATTGCTGTCAGAGTTGTCCCATCTTGGTTCCAGATCAGTAGGGGTAGGCTTTGTTTTCTTTCTTTGCAGAGTAGTGTATCTTGCAGGGATCAAGGTTGGGTCACAGGCACTTGTGGTGACTTTTTGGAAATGGAATACCTCACCTGGAGAGAATTTTGATTGTCGATCCCACCAGAACTTGAGGAGTCTGCTCACATCTTCCTGCTTCATGTCAGAGGGTTCAACAAGCTCAAAGTCTTTCAGGAGGTACTTCTTCTGAATGAAGTTGTGTTGGTTGTTCTTGATGGAAGCCCATGGCACTTTCATCTTTATCCGGCCAGTAGCGAAACCTATCTACAAAATCTATAACCTGGAAGAGCAGATAGTCAATTGACACTCATGGTAATGCAGGGTCACAAAACTCCGGACGAGGTGCTTGTCATATGGAAGGGAATCTTCACAGGATTGGGAAGGAAGAAGAGGGTAACCCTTTCTGTCCTTGAGCAACTCGAGGATATGTTTTCACAGCTGGCTTTTGATGGGTTCAGAGCTTTCCCCGTTCAGCTCACCATCTTGATATTGAAGGTACCTGTTCAGCCACTTCTCCATGTCTTCAACTTCCTTGGGATAGCGATCCGAGAAACTCTGAATGGCATTGGGGCCAAATTCGCCTGTGAAGTCGTGACTGGTAATTATTAGCAAGGGTTATCGATGAAGACACTGAGCTCACTTACGTCGAATACCACCATTCACCTCCAGCAGACGGGTGGACTTCCAGCATAATAACTTTCATCCCCATCTCCTTGAATAACTGTTCAGCCATTGCTCTCAAAATTTCTTGCCATGTGTTGCCACCATCCTGACCTCATCAATGCAATATCTACATCAGCAAATCATGATTTTGAGGGTCAAAACGGCCTTGATTTCGGTGGTATAGTGCATTATGGTGTGTAACGTAGTGCTACATAACATGCCATAGCCCTGTAATGTATGTCCTTATCTATTGGGATACCCCCCTCCAACTATGGAGCACTACGTACCCTCGTATAGCACACATAACGAAATCAGGAATTGCTGATGTACTCTATCACTAAGCAATCAAATACCTCATTTGCACTTCAGCTGGATATGCCCCCTCCATCCACTGATCACGTTCCTCTTCAGCTTCTCAGAGCTGTCGAGCTGTGAGCGAATTCTTCAGCTCTTTGAGGGCTGCTTGGTAATGCATCAGATAAGCAGGGCTGCCACTTGCCGCTCCCATGGAGCAGCGAGTGATGATTGCACCAAGCTCAGCCGGGTGAAGATGCGCAATTACCCTCTTCAGAGGAATGCTGCATGACAAGGAAAACCATGCTCAAAGACCCTTCCACTGCCCATTATTGTTGAATCAAAGCTTCACCTGCTGTCAAAAGGTAATAAGTTCAGAAGAAATAAGGTAATTTGGAGGTTCCTTACAGCTTTACGAAGCTTCCACTGATCAACCATGAGGTCTTTGTTCAGTTCCTTGATTGCAGGGAGCACAGTGGTGACTAGAAGAGTACGGTGATCCATGCTATTTGCCTTACAAAATACTTCCACATGCTCCTTCAGAACATCATGCTCCGCCGTAGACCAGTTGACTTTGCCTATAAATACGGTATCTGCTGTGACTGAGGGCTGGGGATTGGGAGGATGACATTCGTGTAGGACCTCCTGTAGGTATTTGTATCTTGTTGTGGCTCAGGGTCATTTTCACAGATATTTTTCTTGTTTCCTGTGAGATCAACGACCGATTGAATTCTATATATAGTGCCACGATCCCCAAAAGGAGTAAGTACAATCCGTAGGCCCTGGTTGATGGAAGCTGCAGAACTGGCTGGCTGAGAGCTAAGATGCACAGGCAGTGTGTGTTATAAGTCCAGCGACTTTCATGCATGGACTATGGATGCTGTGCAACCTTAATGTGATACATTACACTCCAAAGATAATAAGACCATTGAGTTATCATTGAAGCTGAGTGCATGATTTTGAAAAAGAAGGAAAGAGAGTATATTACACTTCGAAGATAATAAGACCATTGAGTTATTGTTGTAGCTGAGTGCATGATTTTGAGAAAGAAGGAAAGAGAATAGATTACACTTCGAAGATAATAAGACCATTGAGTTATGTGTTGTTATCTATATGAATGAGGTTTCATTTGGGCACGGGACAATTGAACAGGTATTCATATCAGATGTTTCTTGTATTTCAGTATTCAGGTTTTGAATATTAAGTCTATTCATCTCTTTGACCCAGACCCTTTATTTGAAGTTAGATTGCTCTTAATCTTCTAAATATAGCTCTCAGAAGTGGCCTTATTTGTTCCAGGAAATGTGGCTGTGCAACAGATCATTAGTATGATGCCATTGCATGGCAGAGAGATTGGATTACTAGTTAGGAAACTTGTGCACATCACCATATATAAACTAGATACATAGCATTGACTGGTTCAATGATCCATCATTCTCCAATGTCCCAATCATCCTCTAAGCAGACTCAGCATCGTCAGCAACCTTCAATTGGCAAGCGCGGTGCAAGGCTGATGGAGTCATCCATCCATAAGGCCAACTGGGTGGAAGTCTCCACTTCACGAGGGGCGAAGACAAAACATTATGGCACCCTGTCAAGTTCTCTGCAAAAGAAGTTAAAGCAATCAAATCCAATCAGTAATCCAGCACATGCAGATCTCCAAGGCTGCCTGCCCAGCGAATCACAGTATGATTTCTCGGTTCCCTCAGAGGATCAGGTCCGCCAATCTTATAGAAAGGCAAGTCATCACCAGCTTCAGCCATTTAATCTGACACCCCCTAGACTCAAAATGAATATCTTCTTGAATTCAAAGCGAGGCACCGCAGCTATCTGGACCGGATACTCCAAGCTGAGGTGATCAGTTCCAAGACTCAGTGCATCAATTGTGGCAAGTGCACAGCACATTGGCAGTGCCTGGACTGTTCGTGCGCTGTGTTTTGCTGTCCTTGCTGTCAGAGATGTCATTCACTCACCTTACTCCATCGAGTGGAGAAGTGGACTGGGTCCTTTTACAAAAGCGCTCTGGGAAGTCGGTGTTCGGCTGCATGTCAGTCATCAAGGGCTGCGCTGTCCATTGCGCACAGGAGAGTTGCTGGATGAGGATGACTGTCAGAGGGACTTAGAGGAATTGCAGTTAGAGTTCTTAGCACCTCAACCTGCTGGTCAAGCTCATCCACCTGCTCACGACTCATTTCCTGATCCCTTGGCTCCAAATTATTCAGCTTCCAAAGACAGCACTGGTATAAGTCTGGACCAGGACTATGTTGATGTGGCAACACTTGCTGATGATCTGGAAGAACACGACTGGGAAGACGTGCCTATAGATTCACCAGGCTCTACAATTCCCGATGAGGATGCCTGTGGCCATCCATTCTTAGTGGTGGTCGACACTTCAGGTGTCCATCACATTCCTGTTGTATGGTGTGGTTGCAAGCATGCGAACCCCAAATACCAGATGCTTGACTTGCGACTATTCCCAGCATCCTTCACAAACATCAAGACAGTCTTTACATTCAGCGTTTTGGACAACTTTCACTTATCAAACCTGGAAGCAAAAACATCAGCCTATCAGTACTACGAGAAATTGCGCAGAGTCACCAACACGGCCTTTCCAAACCAAGTCCTGAACTGTTACGCTGAGCTGCGTCGGCTCTCTAGGCAGTGGCGTAACCTAAAGTATCTAAAATGGCACAGATTTGGGCATACCGGCTGAGAACCAGGACTGGGGGAGCTGACAATATTTTGCCCGGCCTGTCCTCAACCAGAGATTAATCTTCCTCCAGACTGGAAGATGAAGTACACCAAGTAAGTCATTGCAAAATCCTCATAAATTCCATTTTAACCCAACTACAAGGGATGAATTGCTCTGAACCCTTGTTGTGGATGGCAACTTCACAGCCGACCACCTCCATCAGAAGTGGCCAGCTGATGATGTTTGGTTGAGCAAGGGCCAAGGAATGATGACGTCCTGGAGGCCCTACCAAGACCACCTCAAAATTGCTCGTGAAACGAAAGAGGTGGGTTCTTATTTTCTTTTGCAACCCACATCTAACATCTTCCCCCAGAAGGATCCATGCAACAGCAATTTTGATGCTCTTAACCGAGCTAATGAGGCTGTTGAATACAAGGATGCCAATGGTGTCACAGGCCATGCATGCGGTTGACACGGGTGCTACTGTCCTCAGAGCATTGTTGATCTCCAGAAAGGGGAGAAACAGGCCAACATAGATTGGTCTCTTTGTGAGGCTCTGAAGGCTAGCAATATTGAAGGCCTTCCTCGGGTCCTCCTCATATATGATATTATGTGTCAGTATCACAAAAAACTCAAGCATAGAGTGTCGGTTAACCAGTATCTGGAGGTCCCAGATATTGAGATTGACAAGGCCATTGGCCTATTCCACATCCACGGCCATCAGGACTCATGCCTCTTCCGCTATGCCACTACCTTTATTCCCGGAGCTGCAAAGATCAATGGAGAGATCATGGAAACCCTTTGGGCCATTCTGAACAACATTTCCCGTGCCTCAAGAACGCTTATGCTAGCACACTGTTCAGAGATGTATGACGACCATATGAATGATAGCAATTGGAAGAAACAGTGTGGAATGGGTAAGTCCAAATTTATTTGAGCTGGCACATGACTTCTGATATCACTCTATCTTCCAGTTTCACACACAACACACAAGTTTGAGTGGGTGTGCAACAATGTAGAATCCAGTTTGGAGTATTACAACAAGCTAACAAGTGTGGTAGATTCTGCTGTGGTGTCAAAGTGGACGCAAGAGATTGAACATGCTGAGGCGAAGCGCTCGAAACACCCAGAAGCAATGGATATCATGAATACATGGGTTCCGAAGCATACGTTTATCCAATTTTTAGATTGGGATAGCGACAATAACCATAAGGACATCTTCAGCCCCTACTCTCGCTGAAGCGGGAAAAAACTTTGTGGAAAAGGAAGGGCATGGATATGGGGGAGAGACATCTTGGTTGGTCAGTGGATTATGCCTGGAAGAACTTCAGTGAGTATTTGCACTTGAATGCAACACTCTTATTTGACCAACACTGTCCTTAGGGTGGAAGTCTCAACAATGGCCCAAAAAGTCGCCAAGCAACCCAACATGAAGAATCTTACGGCTCTTGCCACCAAACGCCAGAAGCTGACACAGCAAATTATAAAATTCAATGAAGACACTCTGAAGTACATGGGAGAGGACGCGTTCGAATCCCTTACTGGAGCCCTTGAGTGGATAGAAGATTTCACAGGTTTGGATGAATCCGACAACGAAGTTGAGGGACTGGGCATCAGTTCGGGCCATGGGGAGTATCACCCAGAGGATACCTGTTTGCCATTCCCATCGCGGGTTGAAGATACTGTCAGGCTGCAACTCAGTATCACTCGACTTGCGGAAAAGGAATTGGATCTATGCAAAGCTTTTGCTAATGATTGCTCACAGAATATTTGGGTGGCTGTCGGCAACAAATCCTTCCATTACAAAAATCATCTGCAGACCCAGGCTCAAGTTGCAATTCAAAGTGTCGAACGCAACCTGAAGCACCACTGCCGCTTGTATTCTCAAAACCTCCACAATATGGAATTGCTAGGCCTGGCCCGAAGTCAGGACTCAGTGTATCGAAGACTCACGAATGAAGACTTGAAGGCTAGTCCTTCCCTTGTGTTACCAAATATTCCTGGCCAGCCATGTCAGCTATAATTCTATATCAAACCTGGTGTTTAGCCAGTGTGAACTCATAGATCAGGACTGTGATTAAGCAGTCAGGTTTTCCAAGGCTGCTGGGGTGAGTTTGCTGGAGATGCCAGGGCTATAGAGATTTGTTTGGAGGCAGGAGGGGGTAAATAAATGACCAAACAACCCTCCCAGGGGTGAGGCAGGGGTAGGGTAGGCCTGTGGGGGGTGGGAGGGGTGGGAAAGGCATGGGAAATCCGTCCGAAACAGGCAGGGATGGTGGGGGATGCATGATAGGGGCTAGTGGGATGGCAGGGTGGGTTCTGGGTGCAGCAGGGGCCTAAAAATGGGTTGGGCGGGTCTAGATATGCATGCTAATAATTGTCATGGCCCCCATGGGGTGCAGGATGGGGCAGGGGAGCCAAAAATGTGAAAAATCCAGAGTCTTTTGCATTTTTAATACAAAACAATTGAATAACAAATTGAAAACTTGATATTTCGCCATGAAACTTTGGGAACCTTTGTATCTATAGTGGGGGGTACTTCACGAATATTTTGAGTATTTATTATGAATTATGGGGTGTGCCACACAGCCAGGAATAGTGTGTGCAGCGGGGTTTGATGTGCTTTGCCAAATTTGGCAATAAAATGATGCCTGCACATCTGTGCATAATTCCGGCTCCCCTTCGCATTATTTTGCTTAGCTTTGGCTGAGCGAAATGTTGGGTACATTGATACCTTCCTGTAGACCCTCTTATCGCGTGAAACGGATGAAAACTCGTTGAGATATGGCAAATGCAATTTTGGCTACTATAATGCATGGTGCACCCATGCATCCTCGGGCACATTTAGGGCCATTTAGCTTGGCCAAAAATCATGAAATACATGTCTGAGAAGAATAGTACCATTGATAATGCCAGGGGGTGTCTGGGTGTAGTATATCTGAGGGGGGGGTATAGTTGCGACAGGAAGGTGATGCTATTGCTGTCATTGTGATACCCTTTTGCATATCTTTCCATCTACTGTTCGGAATTTCATCCGATCTTTTTCAGTCTCTTTAGAGTGCTAATAGCTCCTCATAAACAAAGTTTGGTAATTTTTGAAGAAGTCCGAGGTACTCATTTTAATTATTTTCGTGTTTTTCGCACATTTTGAGCTCTTTCTCTAATACCATTTCACCCAGGCATCGGAGCCTCATCCGGCACTACTAAAATATGCTAACGGACATTATCCTGACCCGAACGCACCATTGAATGGGTGCGATATGCGGATTTGGTAAGTATTTACATAGATACTGATGTAGGGGACTACCTCCTCCTTCTCCCCTTAATAACTTTATACAGAATCATCCCCTTGCCCTTGCAAGTACCTTGTTCTGTTTCTATACATTTATGGTCATTTATCATGATTTTACATGGGCCAATATCTCACATCCTGGATGTCAATAGAATATCTTAGCTCATGTGAAATTGGTCAATAACCCAACTTTCAGGCAATATAAAATTATGATAAAATATGTTAAATTCATGAATAAATCTGTACTATCCATGTACCAACTTTCAGCAGACTTTCAGAGGTATGTTTAGTGGGGTATCTGGAGTGGGTCTCCTGGTGTACCTATACCCCCCCTCAGATATACTACACCCAGACACCCCCTGGCATTATCAATGGTACTATTCTTCTCAGACATGTATTTCATGATTTTTGGCCAAGCTAAATGGCCCTAAATGTGCCCGAGGATGCATGGGTGCACCATGCATTATAGTAGCCAAAATTGCATTTGCCATATCTCAACGAGTTTTCATCCGTTTCATGCGATAAGAGGGTCTACAGGAAGGTATCAATGTACCCAACATTTCGCTCAGCCAAAGCTAAGCAAAATAATGCGAAGGGGAGCCGGAATTATGCACAGATGTGCAGGCATCATTTTATTGCCAAATTTGGCAAAGCACATCAAACCCTGCTGCACACACTATTCCTGGCTGTGTGGCGCACCCCATAATTCATAATAAATACTCAAAATATTCGTGAAGTACCCCCCACTATAGATACAAAGGTTCCCAAAGTTTCATGGCGAAATATCAAGTTTTCAATTTGTTATTCAATTGTTTTGTATTAAAAATGCAAAAGACTCTGGATTTTTCGCATTTTTGGCTCCCCTGCCCCATCCCGCACCCCATGGGGGCCATGACAATTATTAGCATGCATATCTAGACCCGCCCAACCCATTTTTAGGCCCCCACCACACCCAGAACCCACCCTGCCATCCCACTAGCCCCTATCATGCATCCCCCACCATCCCTGCCTGTTTCGGACGGATTTCCCCCCTCCTGCCTCCAAACAAATCTCTATAGCCCTGGCATCTCCAGCAAACTCACCCCAGCAGCCTTGGAAAACCTGACTGCTTAATCACAGTCCTGATCTGAGTTCACACTGGTTGAACCCAGTGTTTGATACATGTATCTGGCTGATAGAAGTGTCCTGGCCAGTCCAGGCAGAGGCTTTCTTGGATTTGGACCGTGCATCTTGATGGTGCTGCGAATTCAAATTATCTAACGGAGTGTAGGTTCCTGTGACTTCATTGGCTGCCATTGCTGTCTTACCATCCCACTCCTAGTCTATCGCGTTCACTGGCTCAGAGCCCAGGCAGAGAAGAATCGCTGGGCAGAGGAGCTAACGTTGACAAAGAATGAAATAGAATGGACAGTCCGTTACTTCCTCCACATGCAAGCCAAGTGGGGCTTGCGGCCAACCGATGCATCGTGTGGACACAGTGCTTATGCTCAGCAGCAGGCTTTCATGTGGGGCAGCATGGCCATAGCCGCAAATAAGTGCTTTCAAGAAGTCAACCAAGAGCACCCTTGTCTGACTTAGATAAAAGTAGTGATGTCCATAGTAAATTTCCTGGCCAGAAGGAGGTGTCTGTGAATTTTGGTAAACAATTTACATAAATGCCTCAATAGTAATTTGCAACTCCAACCTCATCCCATGTCTCCTCCACTGCAAGTCCTGACCCCCTACTCCCCTTTTCCTGTAGTGAGGCAAGAGCATCTAGAGGAGGTGGTTTACCATTTCCTCAAGTTCCACGAATATCGTCTCACTGCGGCACTGACGGCATTAGAAAATGCCATGCCGGACGAACGTCGTTCATATTTGTCTGCTCAACTCAGAAAAGAATTGGTATGTTGCTCCTTTTCCTCAATTAGAATTACTGCTTGACAGGTCCTAGATGCATATCCTGGCCCATATGGGGAGATGGGCTGCCCTCAGCTGCTTCCCGCATTTCCTGCTGATAGTCCAGGCACTGTTACAGTCCATCAAGGTGTCAAAGGCTGTAATTTATGTTCTTTCTCCTGAATTGATGGGTATAATCCCTTCCTACCATGCACTCATGGACGGCACAATTTCAACCCTTGACTGGTGGAATTGGGAGGTTGGCCGTCCTTTTCCGTTGCCAGCTGAGCTCAAGGAGGCTTTCTCAAACTACGTCACACCAGAACTTCTTTGCCCTCAGTCCAGTGCGAAGTGGATCTTTCCAGACACAGAGAACAGCCAGACAACTGCGCAAACTGATGCCACAACAGATGATGTCCCCAACAGTACTTGTCAATCTCCTGTTTGCCAACAATGACTTATGGCCATAGCATCCACACTGGAAAGCCTCACGATGAAGTTGGATGACAAGGCTGCTTATATGGACCTCCGAGCGCAAGGAAGTTTGAGGCTCTCGAGAGCCATTTTGGTGGTTGCAGACAAATCGAGGACATTGGGAAGGCTCCCAGAAGTATCAGACTTTGGAGGTGAGTTCAAACTTGGGGGCAGTCCCCAGTGCAAGAATAATACATTAATAGGTCTACAGGATTGAAGCGCATCCCCTCTTCTCTGGCAGGTCAACTGGGGGATAGGGCTGCATCTGGTTCTAGGAGCCTGGCCGGTGCAGAAACTGGACTAGAATCACGTGTTCCACCTCAGGAACATAGTCAGGCCAGTTCTCCAGCCGGAGACAGGATTCCGAGGGGTAAAGGTCGCGGCTTGGCGTCTCCGGCCAGGGAACGAAGTCAGAGGGAATGTGCCTCACTTGCCCTGGCTGGTCACATTGCCCATGGTTCAATTCCTCTGGCCGGGGCTCAGATGCAGAGTCGGAGCACGACTAGCATACTTGTGCTGGCTGGAGAACACGGACCTACCTCTGATCCTGGTAAGTAGTGCTATTTCTGTGCAATGCAACAGCTAATATAGTGTTTTCTCAAGTTACAAGGGCTCTGGTCAAGTCCACTGAAAACCCCAAGAAGTCTTCTCAGCAAGACTCTACAGTGAAATCTGCCAAAGATCTGAAGGTGGCCAAGAAGACCAGTAAGGAGGGCGCAGCTGAATGCGCAAAGGCAGCCAAGAAGACCTTCAATGAAGTCAAGTCGACTGAAGGTATGAAGGTGGCCAAGACTTCCAGGTCCACCCAAGGTGTGAAGACGGTGAAGTCCTCCAATGAAGTCAAGTCTGTGGAAGGTGCAAAGGTGGCCAAGAAGACTTCCGAAGGTGCGAAGATGGCCAAGACCAATGAAGTCAAGTCAGCGGAAGGTGTGAAGACGGCCAGCACAAGTACAGTCAAGTCCATGGAACACGCAAAAGCAGCCAAGACCAATGCCCAGGTCCTAACAATCAATCTGACTTCTCTGTCGGAGTGCGACAGTGATTCTCCAGAATTGGACTTGGGTGAGTGCTCTGCAACAAGCTCTATCCGTTCACTAATGCCTTCCGGATATTAGATGTAGTTGTAACCTTCCAAAGCTTTGGCTGGCTGGCAAAATGTCATAAGACTTCTCATACTTAGCATCGCCCAGCCCACAATATATTCTTTGCTCGCTCTACCAGATATTATTGTCCATGAAGGAAAAAACTATTCTAAATCCCTATCTGGCTGCAACTTGTGGTAGTCCGCTACATTGAGCCAGGGGATGACAGCCACTTCCAGGTGCTCATGTACGTTATCCTGTGTGTAGTATGCCACGCATGCTCTATTCCCTCCACATGTGGCAGCATGCAGCAATAATTTGCTTGAAAACCCGACAACGCAGCCAGGGTCATACCAGAGTGTGATCCCTAGCCCTGGAAAGTCCAACCACCCATGCTGGTAGCGCCCTAGAGCCACCATTATATCAGTTTCCTCTTTCCACCCACCTGTATCACAGTGAGATGGTGTCAGCTGGTTGCTGACGACAGACACTGCGCTGAAGGGCAGGTTCCAGCTTTGGAGGACTGCTTTCAAATCGTCGGGCTTGCTAACATGTGAGGGATTGTCAGCAAGAATTTGAAGAACATGCATGCCCGCATTGTACAGGTCAGGTTGCATGACAGCCAGGATCCCACCGATTAGACTGTTGGAAATCACAGATTTCTCCAACCAGGAAAAACATGGCTTTCCTGGCCAGAGATCAGGTGACATGTGCATGAGGTTCTCAGCTCCCTATGCCAGTACCAGAGTTAGCAACTAAATTGTGGATTGGGGCAGATCAAGAACCCGCCTTGTGACCTTGCTCAAACCAAGATGGAGAGAAGTTGACTGTTCCTTCTTTCAAAGGGCATGCTCCTGTGCCCGGGCAGTAGTACTTGGGGGAGATACACCAATTTTTTGAGCTTTTGTTGACCTTCAGGGACTTTTCAAGAGTGAAGAGGGCATTCCACATATCGGACTGGATTATAAAAAGAAGTTAGTTGTAATTCCAATTCTTAAACCCAAATGTTACCTGTTATTGTTGGGTGAGAATGCCCGGTAGATACCAAAGCATTATGTTCCCATTCATATCCAACACAATCATCGGTGAAACATGCAAGGTTGGCAGGGCATGGATTGGCGGAAATCGAGTGAGAAGGGAGGCTTCCACAGCTGCATTGGCACCATTGTTTTTCACTGTGAGACCTTCTGAATATGGGCAGACGTCCCAATTCGTACGAACTGCTGAAGTGTTACTTTACGGTGTGTTGAGGAATACTAATGAGATACGGGAACTAACCTTCTCTGTTGAATGCATCGTAGAGCACATGTGCACACAAGTTGCATTCATGAAGAAATGGAAGTGTCCAGTAGGTTGGAACTTGAGGTGTTTTTTCAGTTTTGGACACAAGCTGCCTGAATTTAGCGCGAATGTAGGTGGCGACGGTGCGACTTTCCCAAAGTAGATTTTGTGCGAAGCGCGATTCGAGAGACCTGGACATTGCTGAGGACACGAAAATGCGCGATTGCGATGATGAAACGCCATATTTATTAAGGGGGACCACCTTTGCTCTTCCATCCCTGTGTGAGTGGTACCATATCGAGACAATGATTCGAGATGAGGGGCCTAAATAGGTATTTCAGCAAATGGTGAGAGAGCATGCAGAGTAACGTGAATACGTGAGGGGCGCAAGATGGGAAGTGTCGCTGGTCTGCAAAGGTGGGATCAGGCAGATTGTAAGTGTCGATACACAATGGGCACAAGGCAGGGAATGAAAGGCAGCTGGTCTGCAAAGGTAGGATCGGGCGGATCATAGCATGAGTACACGAGGGGGGAACTAAGTGCCACCGGTCCGCAAAGGTGGGATCAGGCAGATTGTAAGTGTCAGTACACAAGGGGGGAACTAAGTGCTGCTGGTCCGCAAAGGTGGGATCAGGCGGATCGTAAGTGTCAATACACGATGGGCACAAGGCAGGGAATGAAGGGCAGCTGGTCTGCTATCGGGCAGATTGTAAGTGTTGGTACACAAGGGGTGCAAGGCAGGGAGTGAGTCTCAGAAGGTAGGATCAGGCGGACCCGTAAGCGTAGGCACACACAAACACGCCCGCCGGTACATGTACATAGGGACACTATACTGGTATTTGCCTAATCTGCTACAAGCATATGAGGAGGACATTGTCACAGTCCACTAGGCTGTGTGTAATGACACATATATGCTATCTGTACTGACCATCTCAGGTACATCCCTCACTCACTGCCCCCCACAGATGCCCTGCCCTCGTGCCCTCAGTTTTGCCCCAGGGACACCTTCATGTCACATGCCCTGCAGTTGTGCTGGCCATCTGCTACCTCACCGTTGCATGCACATGCCATGGAGGATGGATCAATGATGAGGACTTGGACACTGACCCACCTTGCCATGCAGACAAAAACAGCCACAGCCCACAACATTTGTGTCATGTCAATGCACAAGACCTGCCCTGGCACAATGCCGAGGTTGGCAAGCACACACTGTATTGCTAATCCATCACATCTCGAGTGCCTCACCCTCACAGATGTTCATCACAATGTCATTTGACGTTCCGTGATGCTTCTGTGAGATGACCTGCACGACAACCTGCATGGGTTTTTGTACCTGTAGACCCCACCAAAACCCAGACCCCTACCCATGAAAAACCCATACCCTTGGGTGCAGGTATGGGTTGCCATGGGTAGGGGTACGGGTTTTGCTGGGATACCCCAGGGTTACCTGTGCCATTCCCTAACTGGGTCTGTTTCAGCAATGTGGACACATTGCTTGAAGATTTTGGTGATGATTTTGGGTGGAAAGCAGTGAGATGCTGAGACAATGCTCTTATACTTGCACAGCATGGTGTAGGCTTCATCCCAATGTTGGTTTACTTCATCAGCCTCAGCTGCAAGTCTCCTGTAACTTTGCTCTTTAACAGAGACCAGGTCCTGGAAGTAGCATTGCTGGGAGTCAGTCAGAGGTATGTTGGTTTGTAGAAGTTGTTGTAGGTCTGATGCAGTCATCCAAGTCTCTTTCTGTCTGTTAGGGAGCAATAGTAATTATTTAAGCAGAATTCTGAGTAGGAGACTTTGTGCACTTATTCACATCTAGTGTTAACTGTCTGCACTTTTGAAGTTCAGGGTTGCAACAGAGAAAGGAGAAGAGCACTCAGAAATCCCATCATCATGCATAGGTTCAGAGATACTGCTACGCAGTGAACAGTTGTATTTGATATCCAAGTACTTTAGTTTCTATAACCAGCCTTTCATTTTCCTTTGAATGAGCTTAGGAGAAAGCCGGTTTCATTATGTGAACCCTGGGCCAGTGTATGCAAAGAAAAAGAAAGCTTGTTTAGAGGCAGCTTGATTGGAGTAGCATACTGAAGGGGGAAAGGAGTTGTACAATGGAAACAGAAGAGAAAGAGGCACTGTGTCTAATCTGACTAACATATAGGATGTGCAATATATACCTTTGTCCGTTGTAGTTGGTGTTTTATTCTACTTGCATGCCACCTCTGCATCCCGAAATATTCGGCCCGGGTCACAAAGCCGACCTTGCCTCCTTCGCATGTCCGTTAGCAGGTCCTGCAGGGGTAGCAATTGAACCGGCAGCAGGGGCGGAGGGCACAGAAGGGAGCGGGGAGACAACCGCAACGATCACCGAGATGTCATCATGCTTGCCACCGCGGAACGACCGCCCTGCGAGCCGCGCACGACGAGCGAACGGAATCTCCGCGGGGTCTGCCGGATCTTCGTTTGCTGAAGATCGCAAAGTCGACCCCGATGAAGGCGACGACTCAGACGATGGAGATGAGGAGTCGTCGTCCGAGGTGACGAGAGAGACGGAGGGCTTGGCGTTGGATGAGGGTTGGGGCTCTTCTGGGATGACGCTGAACTTGAGTGACGATGATGAGGTGGGGGAAGACGAGGAGGAGAGAGAGGGGCGCCGCCGTGGAGGGGGACGCATCTCCGAGACACGCTTTGCGCGCGAGCAGAGCGCTTCGGAGAGCATGCCTGCGAAGGCTTTGCGTCGGAGGATATGTGTGTCGTGCGAGAGCTTCTCTGACCGGGGGTCAATGTTAAGGGAGGCGAACGCGTTTGACAGCGAGCCGGAGGAGGAAAATAACGATGATCCAGAGGAAGAGAACCCCCACCCATCCTGCTTCCGGAACTTGAGCACTTCATCAAGCACGTCCTCGTCCCAGAGGTTGTCGCTCAGCCCGTCCGACGCGAGGATAAGGATGTCGTCTGCGCATACGGGAAGCGTGAATGTATGCGGTTTTACTGGGAGCTGCAACGGCTCTGTAGGGTCGGTGAGTGGCGTCGAGGGCGGGCCGAGCTGGAGCGGGTGGTTATACTGGAAAGGAAAGGAAACAGAAACAAGTCCGATAAGGGTTTCGCGTCAGTAAAAGCATAGAAAGGAGGGCGAGAGACGATGAGGAGGAAAGACTCACGCCCCACCACATCTCGTCGCTGCGCCAGACGATGCGGTCGTCGCGGACGAGCATCCCCATGCAGTCTCCCAGGTGGGCGATACGGATCACCGCGTCGTACGAATTCGGATCCGCCTCCGCGTCAGGTGCACACGCTGCGTCACTTTTGCGGGATATCGATGGTGCAGGTTCGCTATCAGGTGGAATGGCCGAGGAAGAATTGGGTGCTTGAGGCTGGGATAGTGCGGCGCTTGGCTGTGGGGTTGGCTGGGCTTCGATAGGAGAAACATGGATTGAACCGGCGGCGTAGTTCTTGTGCGGGGGTTCGGGTGATTGTAGAAGCGGGTGAGGATGGAGTGTCGGTGGCGGTGGGTGGTCGAGCACGGCGAGAAGAGCTGTGGAAGAGCCAGTGGTGAGGGGAACTGGTGTCGGTGCAGAAGGTGCAAGGTGGGCCTTGACGGTACTGTCGTAGGCTCGTTCTAAGATTTGGAGGACGTCGATGCCTTCCGAAAGCTCTTCTAGGGAGGAATGCAGAGAATCCTCGAGCTCCGAGAAGGTGTACGCATCGTGAGACGGCGGTGGTGCAGGCCGGGGCTTGAGGTGATGTTGAAATGAAAACTGGGTGGTTGGGGGTCTGGACCGGGGAGATGCGGGGTCAGGGGCAGATGTGAAAATTGCGGGGTCGGAGGTGGATAGCGCTTCGATTTCTGCAGAACAAAAGTGCATGAGGCGGCGGGAAAAGAGGGCTGAGGGTGTCGGGTGTTGGGAGGATTGTGGATGTGTGCGAGCCCAGCCGCCGACACCGTCTGCGATGCCCATCGCGTTGTCTCGCACGAAATAGGCATCTTCTCCAACTTGAACGGAGAGGGAAGTATGCGGATAGGTGCTACTCGACGGCGTGTGTGATCGCGTGTGGAATGTGCGAGAATGGGGGTGGTTTGAACGGTGCTTGGGGATGCCGTAGGCGCCAACGTCGAGCTGGTATTGCAGTCGTTGTCGTTTGGCTGCACGGGGAGCCTCTGTTACATGAGCAGACAAGGAGCTGGTGGCTTGTGGTGGCATGGGGTTGAATGTTGGCGTGATAGGCGGAGTGCATGGGAGGAGAGTTGGGTGCAGGCCCGAGTTGGGCTGCGTGAGTGCGAGTTGGGAGTGCTGCGATTGCTTCGGGGCCTCGCTGGGGATGCGCGGCGGGGCAGAGAGGATGGGCCGCGACGACGAGGACGGCGTTGAGACAGCGAGGGAGGAGATCGAGCTGGAGCGTACGCGGGGGAGAGCGCCATACAGTTGGAGGCGTTTCATGGTGGTGAGAGGCAAGGCGCACCGGGCCAATTCGGGGTCAGAAATAAACAATGACGATTAGATCAGATTACTTAGATGCGTCCGCCGATTGGTCGATTGATTTTCCCGCGCACAACGTCCCACCAAGTGACATCCTTATGATCCTACAAGCAGAAACATGACATTTGCGAGATACATCTGGACTGGTATGTATTTTCTGCGTGCATTCTCTATTTTTGGGGGGCGATTCTTAGCGATTTTCTGCCATTTTCAAAGTGTCTATACTACTCTGAATGCCTGTCTCTCGGTCCAGCAAAGTTCCTGCGTTCAGACGAGTCTCCGGTACAGGCTCCTTCTGAGGTCCTCAACGTCAACCCCTCTACCATCACTCTCTGCGTCATCGCTGATGGCCATCGGTCTGGCTTTCCATAATGAAGCCCCATATTATGGGAGAGGTCTTTGCTTGAGTCCCAGAAGTCACTCGGCCAGGGAATGCCGTGCAGCGGGTATTGCGTTTTGTGTTTCGAACACGCCTTTACACAGGATAGTCTGGTTGCCTGAACATGTTCAAAGCACGTTCATCCGATGAAGAACGAGAAAAGAACGCTGACGTACGACAAGCAGGCGAAGCACAAAAGTAGCTTTGCCGCAGCTCCAGTGACCTCTCGCTTCAACATTTCCTTGAACATTTCCTTTAGGTCTATCACCGCGCTCACGGCATCTTCAATAATATTCCCCACCATCATGCTTCGCGCTTGTTGAGGAATAGGATCACTGTCACTTTCGCGAGCAGTATAGACCCGCAGATTGAGCGCCACAGGAAAAACGAGTCTTCGAGTCTTCTGTTGGGCGTTCGTCAAAACAGGAGACAGCGAAAGGAGTCGCGAGGAAAGATGACAGCGAAAAGGTGAGTGATGAGACTAACGAGCAACTACGACAATTGACAAACATATCTCAGCCTTGCAGAACGATGAAGAACACGACGTACGGAAAATGATAGCCTCGGTGTTGTCGAAGTACGGTAGCCATGCATGTCTCTGCCAATGTCAAAATTTCGTCAGAAAAGCGCATATATGCGCTCGTGAGCAACGCACAATCATCACTCCATTGCCCTCATCACCCCAAATTCCGCCTATATTCAGGACCGGTATCTGTTTCACGGGACACGGATCCAGCGAGTCCGACAGTACACCTAACACCTGCAGCAAGGATCATGGTGTTAGGTAGTTCGAATGAGACGCAGTACTCTTGCACGCCAAGGGCACGGAAACGAACGCGGACGACGACGTTGCCCGCACGTCGTAATTTCGTTGTGCCATACCGATCAAGGTTGTCGAGAAAGCTGCTGGATGTCAGCAAGTGGAGAAGGGGACGAAGAAGGACGTGTATAACCCCGCCGAATCCTCCACTGCGACTTCCTCTTCTTCAGCGCGACTCTAACCGCGCTGTCCCCCCACAGCACATTCATATCTTCAGAATAGCCCCTTCTCTCGCATGTTCCCCACGCGGGCGGACGAGGCCTCCTATCATGTAGCTGATACAAGGCCTACTCACCCTTCCACTTCCTCACTAGCGTCTCGGGAATACAAAGCCGAACGTGAATCCGAGTCAGAGAGGAGTGTGTTGAGGGGTAAGGGTGAGATTAACGGGACGCCAGGATGCTCGTAATGCATGCCGAAGTACGGATACTGGAGGTAGGTCAGGATGCTAACGAGATCGAGGATAGGTTCTGAGCGCTGGGCGCCGACTCTTGAGCGTTGTTGACTTGCCTAGGAGGTCGGTGACCACAACACCGACGAACGAGGAAGGCTACGATTTACCACTCTCCGACTGCCCCAGCAACAGTACCATTTAGCACCAGAGCATATTTCGGTCCTTTACAGACTGGTCTGAACGCGGGGACTTCGGGAGAGACATCTAAGTACAGGTGTGCTGAAAATCATTAAAAAAAGACTTGCAAAAGAAATACATACCAGATCCGATTTTGCAAATGACATGTTCCAGCCTGGAGGTGTTGGCTCATACTGATACAGTCGCCGCGGGAAATCGAACCGGGGGCACCGTACGATGCGTGACTCGTTCGGCTAACGCCGCCCACTCTATGCTCTCATATCGATGTCTCTTCCCAATTCTTCCCAGAACACATCGCAGGCTTTTTGCAGCCATGGCAGACGCAGCGCCCATAGATCCCAACAACGTCCGAGATCCTAACTCCAAGAGCGCAGGTACGCCACTCACTTGTACCCGAATGCCCTCGTTCACCTCCTCCAGCCAAGAAGGAAGCGAAACGCCTCGAGAAAGAGGCGAAGCTGGCTGCCAAGGCTGCCAAAAACCCAGCAACTCCCGCCTCCGACAAGAAGCCCAAAGCAGAGAAGAAGGAAAAGGAAAAGGATGTCGAGGAGCCGTTCGTCAACACGACACCAAAGGGCGACAAAAAAGGTGCGTCTCCGTGCACATATTTTCGAATATGACTCACCCCAGATAGATCTTTCTCAGCCTATGGCAGCGGGCTACAACCCCATCGCTGTCGAGTCCGCCTGGTACGACTGGTGGTCGGCCCAAGGCTTCTTCAAGCCCGAGTACGTCCTGCCTGGGCAAAAGGCAGAAGGCCGCGAAACGTTCGTTATCCCCTCCCCGCCCCCCAACGTCACTGGAAGCCTGCACATTGGGCACGCGTTGACCGTCGCCATCCAGGACGGTCTCGTCCGATGGTACGTCGCGTTTTATTTCGTATGTTCGGTCGTTGACGTGGTGCAGGAATCGTATGCGTGGCAAGCGGACACTCTTCGCCCCCGGATTCGACCATGCGGGTATCTCGACTCAGAGCATCGTGGAGAAGCGGCTGCTGAAGCTGGAGGGCAAGTCGCGTCACGACCTCGGACGGGAAAAGTTTCTGGAGACCGTCATGGAGTGGAAAAACGAGTACGTGTTCCAATCCGTTGTCTCCCCTTTTCTCATCGTGGCATAGCTACCAAGGTCGTATCACGAACCAGCTACATCGACTCGGAGGAAGCTACGACTGGGATCGCGTCGCATTCACCATGGACGAGGTGCGTCCCCTCTTTTCCTGACCCACCACTCTCTGACTCTCTCCAGAACCTCAGCAAGGCCGTCATCGAGACGTTCTGCCGGCTGCACGAAGACAGCATCATCTACCGCGCGAACCGCCTCGTCAACTGGTGCACCAAACTCAACACGACGCTCTCTGATCTTGAAGTAGACCAGAAGGAGCTCGAGGGCCGGACGCTTCTTTCCGTTCCCGGGTACGACGCGAAGGAGAAGTTCGAGTTTGGAGTGTTGACGAGTTTCGCGTACGAGATAGAGGGCTCAGGTGCGTGTCGATCTGCTATATCTCGCATACGTACTCATCGATTCGTTAGATGAGAGGATCGTCATCGCCACGACGCGTCCAGAGACGATGCTGGGCGATACCGCCATCGCCGTACATCCCGACGACCCACGATACACCGTCCGTTTTCCCGTTACTCCGCCTGCCCCTTCTAACATCCCCCACAGCACCTGCACGGCAAATTCGCGAAACACCCCTTCGTGCCGAACCGCAAGCTGCCCATCGTCACGGACAGCATCATCGTGGACATGACGTTCGGTACCGGCGCCGTCAAGATCACACCGGCACACGACCAGAACGACTACGATGTCGGGAAGCGGCACAACCTCGAGTTCATCAACATCCTGAACGACGATGGGACGTTGAACGCGAACGCCGGGGAGAGGTTCTCGGGGATGAAGCGGTTCCATGCGAGGGTGAAGGTCGTGGAGGCGTTGAAGGAGCTCGGGCTGTTCGTGGAGACGAAGGACAACAAGATGATGATCCCGCTGTGCAGGTGGGTTGTTGTTCGTTTCTGAGGACGGACGTGGCTGACGACAGCAGCAAATCGGGCGATATCATCGAGCCGCTGCTCAAACCCCAATGGTGGGTAAATTGCAAACCGCTCGCCGACGAGGCTATCAAGGTACATCATCTCCCCCCAATTCACCCCACCCGAACTCACAGCATCCTCCTCCAGCGAAGCCGCGCCGGCGAACTCACGATCAACCCCAAAACATCCGAGAACGAGTGGTACCGCTGGCTCGAAGGCATCCAAGACTGGTGCATCTCGCGCCAGCTCTGGTGGGGGCACCGCGTCCCCGCCTACTTTGTACGGATCGAGGGCGAATCGCAGGACATCAACGACGGGGCGCACTGGGTCGTCGGGCGTTCGCTAGCGGAGGCCACCGAGCGCGCTCAAATCCTTGCCGCTGGTCGGCCGTTCACGCTCGAGCAGGACCACGACGTCCTGGATACATGGTTCAGCTCTGGGCTGTGGCCATTCTCCATCATGGGCTGGCCGCAGTCCACTTCGGACGTGCGGGAGTACTACCCCTCGAGCCTGCTCGAGACGGGGTGGGACATCCTGTTCTTCTGGGTCGCGCGCATGGTCCTGCTCGGCATCCACCTCACGGGGAAGATGCCCTTCGCGGAGGTCTACTGCCACGCGATGATCCGCGATGCGCATGGCCGGAAGATGAGCAAGTCGCTCGGGAATGTCATTGACCCGCTGGACGTCATCCAAGGCTTGTCCCTTGAAGCTCTGCACCAGAAGCTGTATGAGGGAAACCTGGACGAGAAGGAGATTACGAAGGCGAAGGCGGGCCAGAAGAAGGATTTCCCCAAGGGCATCCCGCAGTGCGGGGCAGATGCGCTGAGGTTTGCGCTCTGTGCCTACTCGGGCGGAGGTAAATCGTCCTTCACTGCAACATATGTACCTCTTCTCATCGCCCCTTCTTCTTGATCGACAGGACGCGACATCAACCTCGAGATCCTGCGCGTCGAGGGCTACCGCAAGTTCTGCAACAAAATCTTCAACGCGACCAAATTTGCCATGCTCAAGCTCGACGACTCCTTCGCGCCACTCGCCGAGGCCAAGCCCACTGGCTCCGAGAGCCTCGTCGAGCGTTGGATCCTACACAAGCTCAACATCGCGGCGACGGAGATCAACAACAGCCTCGCCGATAGGAACTTCATGGCTGCCACCAACGTCGCGTACAACTTCTGGCTGTACGAGCTGTGCGATGTGTACATCGTACGTTGTCGCTGTTTCTTTTACTCGAGATACGCGGCTGATTCGTTGGATCTTGTGTGTCTAGGAAGCGATGAAGCCGATGACAGACGAGGTTGCACCCGAGGCCGTTCGTCGGTCAGCGCAGCAGACGCTGTACGTCTGCCTTGACCATGGCCTGCGTCTTCTCCACCCCTTCATGCCGTTCGTCACCGAGGAACTCTGGCAACGTCTTCCTCGCCGCCCCAACGACCCGACGCCATCGATCATGGTCTCCACGTTCCCGGTCAACGTACGTCTTATCCCTCTCACTCATTATCTTTTCTTCCCGCCCTCCGAACAAATGGTGATGTGACGCTGAAAACAACGCTTTCAGGACCCCGCATTCGTCTTCGAGGACGCCGACAAAGACTTTGATCTCGTTTTCTCCGCCATCAAGACCGGTCGTTCGCTGGCTGCTTCATACACACTCCAGAAGGACATCCAATGTATGTCTCGTTTTCGAGATACTTTGTTCACGATTTTGATGGCCCTCCTCGTGAAGACTTCATCCAAGTACAAACTGAGAAAGAAGAGGCCCTTTTCTCCTCACAAGTGCCTACGATTGTTGCCCTCTCGAAAGGATGCGAGAGTGCAAAGGTCGTTCGGGACGCTACCTCGATCCCCGCCGGATGTGGCAGCGCTGTCGTCACGTCGACGATTATCATCTACACCCTCGTTCGGGTAGGTTTATGCGTCACCTCATCTCTTCCGTTGGTGCTGACTGTTGGACACAGGGACTCGTCGACCTCGACAACGAGATTTCCAAGTGCGACAAGAAACTCGACCTCGCTCGCCTCAACCTTGGAAAGATCCTGAAGATCGAGTCACAGGCTGAGTACTCGGAGACTGTCCCCGCCAATGTTCGTCAGGCAAACGAAGACAAGGTGTGTTTATATTTTTTATTCTGACTAGCCGGTATGATCGTGATTTTGTGGGCAAACAGCGGAAGACGCTCGAGGCTGAGATCGCCACTTTAGAAACCTCGAAGGAAATGTTTGTGAAACTGAAGTAGAATAGATTACATGCCTCATGGGATAATATTTTGTCATGATTTATTGGAGAGCAACCAAAGCAAATACGAAACGACGGACAACGTGCACCCCCAAATGAATAGCAAGACTAACAAGTGCATATGTACTAAATACGGTTGATACGAGGATCCGAGAGATGCATAACCTCTAAACCCTATCCTTCGAAGTTACAGAGTCCGTCAACCAGCATGGATTCACCTCTGAAAAGGCCAAGGCACTCGAGCTGAGCGACTTTCGCGCCATGCCCAGGATACCCGCGAGACTGGAGGACAGACACCAAGGCACTCCGTTCCTCTTTCATCGGATGCACCAGGAATAACCCGAGTTCTATGAGGTTTGGGAGGAGAGGCGACTGAGTTGATGATTCCGTTTCTATGCATTGAAGTGCGAGATTGGCACACCTCACAAACTTGAGATCCAGGACCTCAAGGCTCTGCATTGGGCGGATGAGGTGTAGGAGTTCGTCCTCGTCGTATTGCCCTTGTCCCAACAGCAGCTCGCGCAACCTACAGCCTGATGCTTAGTAGAAGTCAATGATGCGCTCGAGGGGGATACGAATCACCTCCGCACTGGCGCTGAGAAAAAAGAATGATAGGCACTCCAGACTAGGAGCCTGCAAGCCGTGAACACATCGAACAACGCCGGGTGATACATCGGCACCGTCAGATAGCTCAAGTCCTTGCACAGTAGCGGTGCTGGTGCGGAGGTAATGTTCCCTGGTACAGATAAGGCTATCTTGCACGCCTGGAGCTGCTTCGGTACCTCTAACATCCTGAGGAAGGATGCCCTCAGCTGGCAGTAGGTCCCAGTCGCGCCATTCGTATGGTTGAATAAGTTGAAGCTAGAGGTATTTCAGGTCCTGAATGTTGTTTATTGCGACACGTGTGAACTTGGTAGGGTTAAGGTTTGCTGGTTCGTGCCCGATTGCCACCTGCCACTCTCTCCAGCTCGCCGTCACTGCCGTCCCGACTCTCCTTCGCCCCCGCCACCAGCGCCCTCCACACTTCCTCGTCATCCCGACGCCAGCGCTCTTGACGACCAGCCATGCCCGCCCCAGCCCCCTTTCCACCCCAGAATCAACCCGCCACCGCCCTCTACCCCGCCCTTTATCTCTACCCTCTCAACGACACATGGGCTCCCAAGCACATCGCCCTCACCAATCAACACACCAAGATCGGACGACAGACATCCTCTAAGACCGCTCCTGGCGAGCGCAATGGGTTTTTCGACTCGAAAGTGCTCAGCAGGCAGCATGCAGAAGTGTGGGAGGAAAATGGCAAAGTGAGTAGCCTCCATCTCCGTGCTTCGTCCCCTTCCTACGACCTACGCCTTTTCGAACACATATCTCTACTCTCGGTCGTTGTTATTCGTATGACTCTGCACTTCGCCCTTCCGTAGGGCGGCTACTCTTTCCATCCGCTCCTACTTTCTCGTATGGGTGGTGAACAGGCTGTCCGACTACACTGGTACTCCCATGTGTGACCTCATCGACGACGACCCACATAATATCACGTCCAGCATTGCGTCCCCTTCTGCCGCTGCACCGCCGTTGCACCTCTTTTATCGATTTCGTTCATGTTTCGTCCTTTCCCCTTCTGTCGTACCGTCTTTTCAATATTTCTTTTGGACAAATTTCACCTACCGATCTGTCTTCGCTTGGGCACGGTCTGACATGATTTCTCTAGATTTTCATAAAAGACGTCAAAAGTTCCAACGGCACATTCATAAACGGTGAACGGCTCAGCAGCGAAGGACACGAATCCGAGCCCTTCGAACTCAAAAGCGATGACATCGTCGTACGTTCAAATTCCTCCTTCCGTGAATTCATTTTAAGTCTCCACCTAGGAATTTGGCATCGACATTATTGGGGAAGACAACAAGACGATTATCCACCACAAAGTCGCCGCCCGCGTCGTGTGCGTTTTCTCGGAGCAAGATGCCCAAGTTGCCGCTCGCGCCGAACAACACCAGCAGCAGCAGCATCTCCAACAACAGCAGTACCTGCAGCAACAAGCCTCAACATCTGGCCTCGGTGGCCCATCCTCATTAGGCCAATCTGTTAACGGCGTCAATGGTGGCATGGGTGCCCAGAATTTCCCCTTCGCCTCTGCACAGCGGAGAGCGCAGCTCGCCCAACAGGGATTAGGCGGCATGGGCGGTATGCGTCCGCCTGGGAAGACGGGCCTCAGCTTTGAGGTCGTTTTGAGCCGGCTGCAGGGCGAGCTACAGAAGAGTCGCGAGACGGGTGCGGAGCTAACGTCGTTGACGGGCGCGATGGGTGATATATGCGATACGCTGGGGGGCAATGTCGTAAGTTCACGCTGAATTCTTTAACGACGTTTCTAACATTGTTGTTCTCGCAGCCGTCAGCACTACCATCGTTCCCTGCCACTCTCCCTCCTGTACGGCCTTCTCAAGAACCGCAACAACCGCCTCAACAAAGCTCTTCGTCAGCGCCTGCTCCACATGGCACCTCTTCACCATCACCACCCAGCTCCGACCCTCCAGCTGCATCGTCAATACCTGTGGCTGCCATCTCCGACATCCAAGCGCAGCTTCGTGAACTCCACGAGAGCCAATCGACACTGACGGCTCACCTTGAGCGGATACGGGCATTGGAGGGTGTCGTAGACGAGCAAGAGAACGTGCGGAGGGAGGTCCGGGCCCTGAGAGGACTTCTGGAGGAGCGCAGTCGGGAGGAAGAACTACTCCAACGACGTGTCCGGGAGCATCACGAGCAAGAACCCCGGGATGGATTTGATGAAGATGAAGAGGAGATGGTGGGCGATGATGATGATGATGCAAGGAGTATCTCTACTGTCATCCCGCACGAACTCGAGCGAGTCGACGAAGAAGATGAGGAGGGATTGGAGGATATTCATCACTCGTCGCAAGATCCTGACTCCACCCACCATGATTCCGAAGGGACCCACGACGGCGACGCCCATGCAGCAGAGCATACGGAGGAGAATGCTGAAGAACAGGAGCGACGACGAGCGGAGGACCTCGAGGTTTCGCGGCCGCGGACACCAGAACCGACGCGGATCATGGGTGGCCTACGCGAATCGGATTCTTACCCTGGATCGGGACCTTCCCGGACGGGGTTACTTGGTGCGCCAGGGATGGCTCGGCGAAGCTCAGTCGGATCGCCATTGTCCCAGGAGGTGTCCTCGACCCCGGAAACCGTCTCGGACTCATCTACCTCAAACGCAGTGCCCCCCGAGGAGATATATGCGCAACTCTCGAAGCTCTCGCAGCAAGTCGGCGCCGTAGTCGCTCTAACGACAAGCCTTGAAGCACAGCACTCCAAAGCTCAGAACGTCATCAAGGAGCTCGAAGACCGCGTTGGGATGCTCGAAGGCCTGCTCAAGGAGGCCAGAAGCACGAAGGATGTCCGCGAGCCGGCCGAATCTGAGTCATCCGAGGACAGCAAGCACTCGTCGCTCGTGTCTATGATCACCGAGTGGAAGAAGTCTGTTGAGGGTCAATGGACTGCTGTTCAAGAGGAATGGACCTCCGAGCGAGAGCGGCTTGCGAAGGCGAGAGAGGAGTGGGTGGCGAAGGCCCGTGCCGTCGACTCAGGGCTCGAACGTATGGATTCCGGCATCGAGAAGATGACGAAGCTCCAGGAGAGGGTCGACGGCGGCCTCGTACGGTTAGGCAAGGTCGAGGAGGGGTTTGAGAGGACATCCAAGGTCGAGGAGAGGGTGGGCAAGGTCGAGGACAGGACGGAGAAGCTCGAGGGTACGCAACGGAGCTGGGGCGATGAACGACGAGATATCCTAGACCGGATACAGTCGTTGCAAACCACCAATGCGATCCACGGCCAACTCTCGCACCACCTCTCGATGGCGAACGGAGACGTCCTGAAGCACAACGGCGGCCTCGTGACTCCCCCATCACCTCGGTCGCAGTCCTCTGACAGTGCTGGGAGATATGGAAGGAGGCGCCGCAGTCGTAAATCATCGGGCTCAAGAGGGCGGTCGTCGTCGAGAGGCAGGGCCAGCAGTGGGTCGAGGGGCGACCTCGAGAGAGATGAGGACGCCGATACGGATGCAACCCTCGCGTCATCGACTGAGGGTGACGTCGAAAAGTCTGCTTCTCGACTTTCAGGTACGATTGCTGCCGCTGCAAGAGCCTTGGCCACGCCGGAGCCGTCAGTATACAAGCTCTCGTCTTCGATCGGCTCACTCGATTCCTCATCACAACCTCAAGAGAAAGGAAAATCGGTCGTCACAACAAGGTCGAACACGGAAGATACGGCAAGTCTCAAGTCCATTTTCGAACGTCTTTGGAGAGAAGTGCTGATGCCTCTCCTCTCTTCCCTCTCCGCTCTTCTGTCTTGCGTCGGGATTGACAACGCACAGAATTTGTCTGGACTAGTTTCCGAGGAGCGGTCCACAGGTACCGTCGCGAAACACGGTTCTCACCCACAGATCAATGTACAGACGGCGGTGGGAGTGGTGCTACTGAGCGTCGCTGCCGCCGCCGTTTTTTGGAAAGTCAAACCGGAGTAAGATGACGCTTTGCTTCCGCTGTTGCCTTCCTATGTCTCTCCTTTTTTCTCCTTGCCATCCACCTCACGAAAACCCCCATGACCTACATTATACCAAAACCACACATACACTCTCGCATCACGCCTCACGATATCTTATTACACCTCTTCCCTTTATTTCTTCTTTTCTATTGTCCTCTGTACCAAGGTTGGAGTTTCCAGCGGGCGAACAACTGTTGGTACCTCTGTTGTTCCATACGTACGCCTATACGAACCATACATAGGAAAACTTTTAAATTCCGTTCGGTCTTCGTGTGTCTACCTCGCTGTCTTTATATTTAATTTCGTTATGCCCAATTCCTTGCCTCGGGCTGGATCACATAACAGGCACGATGGGGGTTGGGTTGAGCTTTGGGGTTGTGATCTCGGTAATTGAAGCTATAGAAGCCAATGGGACTTTGGGAGGGGAGATGCCTACATCCACAGTTGAAGAAATTCTGCAGAATTGTCGGCGAGCAATTATTGTCAGTTTGGGTCGCGAATTGGATCAAGACAGGCAACCTTCAGTTTATGCTCTATCGTGCCAGCTAAAGATTTTCTGGGACGTTCGGAGAAATCCTCACAAAGCCAGTGCTAAACACGCACACACGTTCAACCCAGTGAGAATAGGCCATTGCCAAATAGAACCACGCAGAACCTCATAGTGCAAGTTCTATGCGGTCTGCCCTGGATGACGAGTGTTTCAACTACGCCAGAAAGTGAAGAACGATGGAGGACTCGCTGGGAACGGCCTTCGAACCTGCTCAGGCAGGTCATTAGCTAAGGTATGGGGATCGGCATCGCCTGATGAAAAAGCGTGATGTTTGGTCGTGTTTGTCCCTCCGTGAAACTGCTCGAACCGTCGGTTCCCTTCAGTTCCAGGGCCATAGAAATGGCCCTGCCCCTTGGTCGGACATTTTATGTAGCTAAATATGAAGTAATACATATGTTTAACTAGTATCCTGAGCCTCTCGTCTTAATTCAACTTCAATGTGGAGATATTCCTCATGCGAGCAGTGTACGTTGTTCGAGAAAGGATCCCGTCTCGCAAGCTCTCTAAAAAATTGGCGCCATGGTGGAATAACCTGTAAATTTAAAATATAAGTGTGGCCTGTACTACAATTGAGAATAGAGCTTTATTTTAACGAAGGAAAATGCATAACGGGTCAAATGAGTATGACATATAAAGCAAGGACACTGGCTGTGGAGGATCCTCCGGAAGCCGTTGGTCAGTGTTCTCACTCTTCTTCTTCCTCTTCTTCGTCCCCATTCTCGTCATCTTGATCTTCTAGTTCATCTCCGAGAGCGTCCGCGCTCTCCGTGTCTACTCCAGCATCCTCGAGTCAGACCTCGACCGACTCGTTTGTGACAGTTTCAGCAGATGGGCCTGGCATCGGTGCCAAGTTTCGTGTGAGGATAGCATGGAGTGTGAGTATTTTCCTAAAGTAACTTGTAAATATGAAGTGAATAGGAATAAAATATCGACTTACTCCTCGTTACGGGTCAAAGCGGCGAGTGCAGCATAGAGCTTGAATGCACGGGTCTTGATGTCTTTTAGCAAGACCTCGAGGAGAACCTCATCCTGGAGGAACATCCGGTAAATACATATCTGGTCTTGTAGCTCGTCTTTCTTCATCTTGTTAATCACATTCCGGTCGACAATTAACCCCACCGCTGTTAGACAAGCGATCTCCTCTCGCTTCTTCCGTTCTGTGTCAGCCTGTTTCTGGCGTGTCGCCAACGCTCGTGCTTTCTGCGCCTTGAGAAGATGTTGCCGAAACTTCGCTGTTTCGCCAGCGGCCCCATCTGATCTAACCTGTCTCATAACATAGAGTTGGTCCTCGTCAGTGCATACCTTTTCAATAAATAACTCTGTCTTGTTCCGCTCGACGCGGGCCTTGTTTGAGAATCCGTTTGCTGTGCCATTAGGATGAAAACGAGCGTGAACACGCCAGGATCCCAGAGCGCCTTCGTTTGCGTCGTTAGTGGCCAGAATGAACATGCGTGACCGTTGTTCTGGAGTCAACTTGTCAAAAGAACCACCAGGAGTGAATTCTTGTGTGAATTGTCGCCAGCCATCTGCAGAACCCGAGAACATCGCTGAAATCATGAGCTCCAAATCCAGCAGCTCAGAGGCGAGAACCCGGATAGCCACGACAAGCATTCTGTCCATCCACGGCCTGCCGTCAAGTGTGATCTCGGAGAAGTCTGTCTCTGCGGAGTCTAAAAGCAGTCGAGGATTGCCAGCGATTCGGTCACAGAAGCCAGGGAGTTTCGATGAAGAGAAATCAAAGATGGGTCGAGGAGGTTCTTCACGGTACCATCGCCGCCACGGACAGACTGTAGGTAAGGCCAAGAAACCGAGACACCGTAGAGCACCATAGCTGCCAGCTCAGCCAACATAGATGGATCCTCGAGGCCCTTAGCAATGTTCTTCTCGAGGTGATTAAATTCAGCTTTTTTCTTTGCGTCATGAGCGTCCTCGACAAGTTCGATGTAGAGATCCAGGAAGGTGATTAACTCGGCAGCAGCGTAGGAATGAGATTGATACCGAGTGTTCGATGTGTCAGGGAATTTTCTGAACGTCTTGAGCCCGTGTACCTCTAGTTTTCGGTCTGAAATGAACATGCGATGCACGTCCTGATAGCCTTGCTCCTCACTTTTGTGGTTGAACAAGGAGCCAGCAAGACTAGCAAGCTTGACACCACCACGAGTGCTTGAATCAACTGCGTGCTGAATAGCGGCGCTGTCTGCTTCTTGCCCAAGTTGGATGACAGCATCGTTAGCCTTGTTCGCAAGGAGCACAGGTGGGGGCCGCTTCTTTAATTCCCAGGTGATGTTCATCCGAACAACTCCATACTTGAAGGCGTTAAGATCCTTGTGCCCGCCACACCCTGCAAAGATGAGAGAGACCAGGAGCGTACGTTCACTCTCGCCAAGTGTCAAGAATTTTGCTTTCCCGAGCGACTGCTCAAGGATTCAGTTTCCGTTCTCGAAGCGATCCATCCTGAGATGAAAATTAGTCAGTAAAGAGTCAAGGGAAAGAAATATATCAGAAATATACGATTCAGCACCCGAGCGTGCAGCTGCAATATCAGCTGGTTGGATGGCCAGCATTGCTTGAATTATCGCACTCGGGTCCATCTCCTCGAGAACCTTCTCACCAAGGTCCTCGTGAATGACCTCCTCCTTCCACTCTTGACAGAATCGAAGCTTCTTCTTCCCATCGGACACATGATCCATGTTCTGAAACTCCTCCTTCCGAATCCAGTCATTTGTCTCCATCTTCGTGCCGTCACGCTGCGAGAGTGGGCTATTTGAGTAGGTCGAAGCGATCCGTGAAGCAAGGTTCTTTGTTCCCTCAAATTGTGTCTTTGCTGTGTGATCCAGGGCAGGTTCAAGGTCTACGAAACGAACCTGGTGCGACCACGTCGATTTGTCTGTGTCGTCCACGCCAAGTTTGTATGTCGGTGCCAAAATAGTGACATGGTGCGATTCGTAAGTAATCTTTCGGTGGGCGGTTCCGTTGCTACTTTCCCCGAACCCTATAAATAGCTTTCAGTGTCGCACTGTACTCGAGAAATTAAACAAATACCTTCAGCCTGCATAATTTCTTGACCTAGCTGCATCAAACCGAAGTAGCCGCCTTCGTCGCGTGCACGTAAAACAGTGCGTGCGCTCATCTTATCGCGAACCTTCATTCCAAAGGCATGAGCGCACGCAACCATGGCATTCGCAACATGTTCAGAGGCACATCCGGCCTTCAGGAGCTCCCTGGCCAGTCGTCGTGCATGGGGAGTGTATACCCCTTGCTTCTTGAGCACCCAGACCTTCTTCGACTGAAGGTCCGTGCGAGTATTGTGGAGGGTGGCTTGCGCACAGTGCCGCTGCATGTCAAGGCGATGAACGTCCTTACGCAGCCATGCAGTAGCGAGTTTCTCCGTAGTCAGAGCCGTTTCAAGCTTGTCGACAGTAGTCCTGAGTTCCCACGCTATTCTTTCGTGCTCGCGTGACCGAGACAAAAGTTCCTGCCGTAAGGAATTGCCCTCAGCTACAAGATCACAGATGCGTGAGTTTTATTTCTCTTTGGATTGACGGTGCTCGTTCGTGAGCCGAGATGTGCGTTTTTGGGCCTTTCGGAGCTCGAAACGGGTGTCGCCAAGATGTTGCTCGAGTCGCTCAATATCAGCGTCGCGAGAGTGGATGTCTTCGGTGGCAGCAGCGAGTTTTGAATGCAGTTCCGTGTTGATGTCGTCGCATTCGTGGAGATCTTCGGCAAGTTGTGTAGCTCTCATCTCGGCATCTTCTAAGTCTGCCTCGAGAGCTTGTATTCTGAGAGCATGGTTGGAAACGAGGTCTTCTAGCCTCTGTTTCTCGACTTGTTGTCGAGTTTTCGATGCAGCGACGGGGAGCGCAGCTGACGCCGCATTGGCTTTCCGGCTCGCGGCAAGGCTTTTGATGTGCGCTTGTTGGGCGCTCGAGCGGCGTTTAGCCATCTAGAAAAAAATTAATCAGTATATGCGGTGTACATTCTAAGTAAATCACGAATAACCACCGCTGATAGTGAAATACGGGCAGAAAGGAGCACTGTGTCGAACCCTTTAGTGCCGCGGCCGTGATGGCATATGACAGCTGACAGCTCGTGTCAAGTTGCGACCACGGCAGCCCAATTTCCCTTGATTACTGCCTCAGACGAGGGAAAAGACCCTCTCGCACCTTTTTGCTATCCTCATTCTCATTTTTCGGTGCAATGAGCCTATAAAAAAATTGCAGGATGTCCTAAATTGAAGCTCACCACCTCAGATTTCGATCAATCTTGTTTTGAGAACCAAAGATTCGTCCATTTTTTCATCCGGCGCATTTTTAAGATTCTTTCCGAATTTTATTCTGACGAGGAAGTACAAGGCACGAGTTACGAAGATGGAGGTTGGTGCGAACCGTGTTGGCATCAGGGACAAGCAAGGGACAAATATCACGCTTCGACTACGGGCCATGCCGATCCCCATAAGGTAGAGCTGAGTTGCTCTTGTCCACATCACGTGAAAACCGTGACAATTTCGGTGTTTCCCATGGGGCATCCCGGCAAATGCAAAATTTGCCAAAATATCCTCAAGGAAGTGTTTTGATTTTGATTTTGAACACTTCCTTGAAGGAAATTTTGCGCAAAGTTGAGCCAAAAAAGTGCCCGGAGGGATTTACTTTCGGGCCCAAACATGACAATGATGGAAGTGACTGATCGTTTTGGCCGGACGACGCTTCTTGATTTTGAACCATCACCATCCGGCCGTGGGAATTCGTCGCCCCCACCATGGCCGCGCTCTACACTACCGAACTCCTCTCATTAATCGGCATCGTCCTCCATCGGGCCCCACTCATTGCCTGATTCCTTATCTATTCATTAAACCAACACCTTTTCTTATTTATCGGAGAAGATCGCGACTTCGGTGTGGTTGTATCCCAATCGCTTTGTTGGAGGCCCGAAGACCTTGTTTACGACAACCTCAAAGCGCAACTGATGGCCCTACTTGACAGGCAGCCCGTGTACCGTCTTGCTCTGCTTCGCGCAGACCTTTCGGGGGCGCAACCTAGTCATGGAAGGCAACCCATGGAGGGAGGAGGCTAGTCTCCAATCATCAGCTGTGTTGCCTATGATCCGGCTACACCCCTTGGGGAGAAACACTAGATATTCGACCGCCTTCGCATGGTAGGGGGATGCTACAGGATGTGTGCCTTAGGGTTTGGGAAATGGGGGAGGAAAGCGGGTGGGGTTGTATCAGAGGGCGGAAGGCATAGTGGAAGGCAGAGTCACTCGTTTCAACATTTCATTTCCAAACCATCCAATCTCGTTAGGGGTACTTAGCACCTACATGTGCTGCCCCCGTCAATGGCGTTGGCCCGGCACACCAACCATGCAGGCGACTGACGGCTTGGAAGCTTCAGCGCCCAATGCTGGGAAGGACTAACACCATGAAGCCCTTGATTGTTTAGATTTGGCGAACCGCAAGGAAACTGGTCAGCTCTCACCAACTGTCTCAACAGCTGGAAGCTTCGGCGCCCAATGGGGCTTCAACCAAAGGCGGCGGGTTGAGGGATGGGATGATGAGGAGGGTCGTTTAGGTGTAGCCTACCTCCAAGGGACTGTGATCGAACACCCTATTTTTTGTGTATTTGGAGTACGTCTAAAATACACCCTACGTGGAAGACTTCAAAAAAAAAAAAAAAAAAAACGTTTTGGCCAGAGTCACCTAAAAGTCACATCATGTGATATAGACAAGAGTGCGACTTTCCGCCCCATGCACGTGATGATCGCATTTGTCATCACTTATGTAAACATCAAAATAGGAAGGCGGTTCGTTAGAGTGAAGGCGAGTGCGCGAGCTGGCTCGTCGGGCTGAGGGCCACCATGAGTGAATTACATGAACGGCTCAAGTTTCAAACCATTTCTCACTTGTAGACCAACTGCCCGAATAAGGACCATTCACACTATTATTGAAGTAATTGGAAGTTTGATTTATTATTACAGGTTCTAGTGTACAGAAATTATGGACTCGAGAGGTGGCTCAGCAGCCAGAGAGGGATGGGGAGCACGGAGTCGTACGGCTATGTGGTGGCTGAGTCGGAGGTATTGGGAACGGTGTCAGGGACGCGCAAGGTGAGCATGGCGCAGTCGATGCAGAGGTTAAAGGTACTTGCTCACCGCGTTCATGGCCCTCCAATGTATCCCATGCTCCACCGTGTCCATGCTTTCAGTAGCCCACTGCAATGCCACTCATACACGGACCGTGCTACCTCCCGTTCCCTGGATCTGGCTTTCATTGCAGCATGTGTCATGTGTGTTTCTGTGTCGATTAACGCGTAGTGTCGGGAGAGGGGCGCCTTGAACGACGAGAGATGTGCGCTCCGTGCCACTCCTCACTCCCATGTTCTTGCATTTGAGGCAGGCGCGCGTCGACACAAACGCGCAATATTCGTCGCGGAGAGGGGCCGTCAGCAGTGCGGAGGGGCTACAAGGAGCGGGAACGCGAAGAGGAGAAGGAAGAGCAGGGAGGGAGGCGGAGAGGGGTCGTTGACGATGGTGGTTGGGAACAAAAGGCGTGCTGCGCCACCGCGCCACCAAGAAGCCCTGATACGGCTTGATACGGTCGGAGAAAGAAATCGAATCGCTCGCGAGCTGCGTCGGTTTGGACAATTAGATAATGGTTTATGTAATGGAAGCGCATCACGTGCATGGGGCGGAAACCCAAAACCTGAGTGCATCGGCCCTACCTTATAAATGAACGATCATAACATTCACGTAGAAAATTGTCCAAGAAATAGAATCATAGAAAAGATATGACAGCAAAGAAATGTCGAACATGTAGGGAAACTTTGTCTAGAAGCAAAGGAGGTATAATGACGACAATTATTTGTGTCCGTTCACATCGCCATTGACCTGGCTCAGCGCTGCGTCTGCCTTCTTCAAGTCGCTCTCGCTCAGGCTCCTGAACGCCCCTCCGCCTGGTGTACTAGCTCCACTCATCACTGAACCCGAGCGTGACCGAACCTTCATAACCAGGGGGCTACAACAACATCAATAATGATAAACGGAGGACAGGAAAAAAAGACGACGTACAATGGATACGAATCGTCTTCGTCTTCGTGTGCGCCTGGCCAAGCATGGCCGCGATAGTCGCTGGTGTTTAATGCTTGCATCTACACAGGATCGTCAGCGCTGTTCATTATCGAGTATGACCAAACGACGACTCACGTCCTCCGTCAACGTGCCCATATCACCCGGTGTCGCCATACCCCTCAAGCGTGGACTGGCGGGCATGCTACCCGGCTTCATCCTCTCAATGCCCGCAAAGTAATCCTGGGACTCGCCGAACTCTCCATAGATATCCTCGCCGTCGCTGCCGTAGAACTGGTCGGGGTACGCCCGCCTCAGGGCGAGCTGCCGGGCCTTGCTGTACTCGATGCCGAGGTTCTTCCAGTCGAGGAGCGGGCTGAGGCGTTCAACCCGGTTGCGCTGGTTGATGCGCTGTCGCCTCGTCCGCTGGGTGAAGGTGAACATTTGGTCGGTCAGTTGGTTGACCGAGTCTTCGACGGACTGCATGCGGCGGTCGATGATGTAGCAGCCCTCGTCCTCTGGATGCTCGATGAGGTCTTGCATGAAGCAGCCGAAGCCAGACAGGTTGGTCGTGATCGATGGGACACCCATCTAGCGAAACTCAGACAAGGAAAGCCAACTAAAAAGACGAGACGTACCACTGTGCACTCCGCCGGTGTATACCCCCAAGGCTCATAATAACTCGGGAAGACCCCCAGATGGCACCCGCGCACAAACTCCTCGTAGTCCAAGCCGAGAATCGGGTTGTTGCTGTTCAAAAAGTCGGGGTGGAAAACAATCTTGACACGGTCGCTGGCATCGTTGAACAGCTTGACACGACGGATTTGGTTGAGGATCGGGTCGTTGGCGTCGTCGGCCATGTTGTGTGTGACAACGGGTGGCAGCGAGTTTCGCTTGAGAGCAAAGATACGACGTTTGAGTAGTACCTGGTCCTCCTCTGAGAGAAGGTCGTTTGGTGAGGGCATGAACTTCTCCTCTCTACGACATGGTGCATTAGGGACACCTAGCTGAGTTTGGAAGAGTGCTTACCCGTGGAACCGAGCGGCATGGTCGAATAGTCGGGCACCGATGCGGTTCTGGATCTCCGTAACGGTATCGCGGAGTTGTTTGGTGACGGCCTGACCCTTGAGGGCCTCGATGGTGTATGAATGGGTGGCGGCGGGCATGATGATGAAGGCGACAACGGTTACATGAGAGCCAGACTTTTGCAGTCTGTAGTTTAGTCCTACGCGGGATTAACTGGGGGGCGGGGACGTTCGGGTGTTTGGCAACTCACTAGCAAGAGATTCAATAAACATATCCACCCCCTTATTTCGATATTCGTATCTGCCCGCCGTAAATAGCTACACGATATCAGAAAAGTAGAAGAAGAGAATGAAGTAAGAACACACATAGAGAGTATTGTCGAGATCAAAGTCATAATGGCCGTAGAAATGACCGCGTACAAACTCGTTGATCTTCGCCTTGGAAGTCGCGTGGAGGTTCTGGAATTCGTGGATAGCCTGGAATTTGACGACGTTGAGTCCATTGGGCAGAACGCCGTCTGGTTTCCGTTTGAGGAGATGTTCGCTTTCGTAGGCGGTAATGTGAGACACAGTCGTGAATACGTCGGCGCAGTGGGTAGCAGAGCGTTCGATGCAGTATCTGTGGTATATGCCGCGCTTGCCCGCCTCGTGGTCGACGTCGAAGTACTGGAGGTTGTTGTAGAAGTCGACGGAGCCGGCGCAGAGGTATCGGCCGAGGAGGGTTGCATGGGTGGTAAAGACGGTGGTGACATCGATGTGGCGTTTGCGGCAGAGGGGGATGGCGAGACCGGCCTGCCACTCATGGAAGTGGGCGACGACGGCCGTTGTGAGCTGACGCGAGACGTACTAGTGGAGAGGGTATGAGGTAGGGATCAGAGCGGGGTGAGAACACTGACATCACCGAGGAACCAGGCGACGAGGTAGCCAAAAATGATGGTCTCGTTCGTTTCCTGGTCGTTGGGGGGACTTGGGATGCCCGCGAGGTTCCACAAATCGCCCTTCCACTCGTCGAGGCGGGAGTAGGCGCTGCCGGTGTCGAATAGCAGAACGTGCGGGTTGCCCTCGATAAGCCAGCGGCCGTAGAGAACCTTTATGCCCTGGGCACGCATAGAATCAAGGGTAGCCGCGAGGTGCTCGTCGGTGGGCTCCTCTGCTTCGACTTCCATGGGGGCGGTCTTGTAGGACAGCGGCCCAATGAGACAGTATCTATCGCCATACTCGGAGACAGTGACGGGGACCTTCGTCTTGATGACGGTATATATTCCGCCGACCTTGTTGGCGACCTCCCATGCGCACTCGAAGAGGAGGGGGTTGTGTACGTCGCGCTTTTCGTCGGCCATGGTCGAGGGAGGGTGAAGGGAGGAGGTAAGAAAACTGAACTGCTTCCGAAGGGTAAATCTCTATCGAACATTCCATATCGGGCAGCTATCCTACAAATCCTCCCCAACCCGGACGAAAATGTACATGACGTCATCCCAACCAGCCCACCACGCCCGCACAAATCACGCTCGACACGAGATTCACCTGGAATATCGGTCAAAATAAGCGCATTTTCCCCAGATAATTGGGCCTACCTGGTTGTTGGTAAGGATGTTGAGACCGCTGATGACCTCGACGGCCCCGTTGCTCTTGCTCTCGTCCTGCAGGATAACATGCTTGCTCTTCGAATATCTCGTTTGCTGGACAGTGGCGCCAAGGACCGAGTCGACCTATTGACGCTTGAGTTCCGTCATCGCCCTTACCCTGCAGGCTAGAACTCACGAAACTCCCGAATCCTCCCCCGAAGGCCCCCAACCCTAAGCAAGACAGCAGCACATCGCTCCACCCTGCGAGGCACTTCGCGTTCTCCAGGATCAGCGTCAGCCCAACCAGGAAGCCCACTATAGCCCCTCCAACGACGGACACAAATGTCCCCCATGCCGACACCCCGCCGTTCGTTCCAGGAGGCACCTTTCGGAACGTTGTGATCAGACGAGGCTGCGAACGCGACAGAATGCCCAACTCGGACGCGAGTGTATCCCCGAGACAACACGCAAAGTGGCTGCAGGATCACCATTCTCAGAAATAAATCCCTGTCGTCCAACGCGCCACTTACCCCAAGCCAGCAAGCACTAATGTTCGACTCCATCCATCGCCCACCTCCGCAGAGACCGGACATCGCTCTTGTGAGTAATCTGTCGTGTCCTGCAGCCACAGCAACTCCTTCACATCCAACCCCACCAACCTCGCTATCGCAGCATGCACACTCGTCGGTGCGAATGCCGCATTCCATACGAAGGCAGCGACCAACGCCGACACGCTGTTGCTCAGCACCTGCCAGCCCGTCCTATACCCTGCCTCGTGATACCCATCCTCCAGCTTGGCCTTCTTCTGTTTCCCATCTATATTCAACGAGTCCACAATTCAATCACATTCTTCTTATCTCTGAATTCAACACGAGCACTCACACTTGGTCGCTCTACTTCCCACCAGGTAGAAACCAATCAGCGCAACCCCAAAGACGCGTATACCTCCCGCCATCATCAGAAATCCAACGACGAACGCCGTAGAGGCTCCGCTCGGCGACAGCGACTTTTTCCGCCATCCGTGTCCACTCAGGAGGAGCGCAAGTGCGAGGGGTACTAGGGGTATTTGTGACATCGTTCGCTCGACGTAGTCGAAGTCGTGTTCAAAGTGTTGAGCGCTCAGTGAACGCGTTTGTCGACTCTGGTCCGGTCAATTAGGTCTGATTCCGTCAGCCGATCAAGATTGGCGGTGATTACGGCCCGTTCCCTCCCGTGCCTTGCCCTTTTCTTCCTTTGTCCTTCTCTTCCTCGAACTCTTCTTCATCCCACAGACGGAAAAAATCTTCATATTTAGAAACTCTTCCAAATCGCGACGAGCCACGGTTGCTCGCACAGTGCCATGCTCACCTTCGGGCTTTTCCATCCTTTCGACCTGCTGACCGACCGCCTTCTGGCTGGTTCCCTTGACCTATTCTTAGAGACTGCTCAACCCATCCTTATGCCGTCAGCGTCCTGACGACTCAGCGTGTCGAACTGCCATTTCTTCTCCATTGATCATGACAACGTATGTTCTTCTCCAACGCCGTAACATGACATGAGAGGCACAACTTCGTTCGATCGCCCTCTCCGTTAACGCTCGACCAGTCCCAACGCCTCTCAAGCCAGAAGCCCAACTCACCAAAGACACCCATACAGGCGGGCGTTGTTTTCCAACACCTATCTATCCATCTTTTCCCAGCCTACTTATCTGCGCATGACGACGACGAGGCCGACGGACGGCCCCGAAGAGCAGCACGTTCGCGAATCTAAGCGTAAACCTTATCCTCGAGCGAACAGATTCCGAATACCAATAATCGCGCGGACCCACCTCGACCAGGCACACGGTTCGGCATAATTTCTTTCCGTTCGACAACCGACATATCTTCTCTGCCTTCGACCACCACCAACAGTGCCCACTGCCAGCGCCAGCGCCAACACACAGCCCGAGGGCTCAGGGCGACTCCTCAAAGCCTCGCACCGCGAGCTCTGCTCCTCCGCCTCCGTCTGCAAGTTCCATCTGATAAGGCTCGAGCCTATGCGACGTGGTAGACGATCGACATGTCCGCCCCTGCTCAAGTCGCTCCTTCTCCAGCAGAGTTGCTAGTGGCGTCGTTCTTCTCTGGGGACGGGCTCGCGTTGAGGGCACTTATCAGCCCTGTACGTCCCCCTTGGCCTCTACCAAAGTTTATCATTTCACTCACCACCTAAACCTTCTTTCAACCTGCCCTGCAACCTCCTCGCATGGCGTACGCCGATTATCCTTCGAACCCTCTCCGTCCCCCAGCCACTGGTCACTATCATCCACCTCAAGCACTGGACCGTAACGGCCATCCTCTGCCTCCTTGTGCGTCCCAATGTCCCTTCCCGTCTCTCTTGTGCTGCATGCCCGGGCCCGTTTGCATTTACGTTGTCCACAAGCTGTGTTCGTGTCAGCTCGTGTCTGTTGCGCCACAATCCCGACGCGTACCTTACCCTTGCCCTTATGCTTATTCCTGAATCACGCCCGTTCGGTGATCACCATCTCATCTCTGATCCACTAGGTCTACGACTATCTGTGCACACTCGATCGCGAGGTAAGCCCTCCAATGTCGGCTTCAAGTAATGTTCGAATACACTGATAAGCCATGGACATGAACTTGAACATTTCAAGATAGCCTACGTATGGTGCAGACCCCGGACGTTTGGGACGTACCTCTTCTTGCTGAACCGGTACCTGCCCTTCGTCGACGTATCGATGGCTCTCTACGGTACGTCCGCGATCTTATTTAGTTCCCACTCGCTGTACTAATGCATATATGCGCAGCACTTAAACACCCTTTAACACCCGAGGTTCGTTCGTCCATTGCCGTCCCATCATATTATTCGTGCCTCAAAATACCTACCGAATTTAATCTACTTCCAGGGCTGCCATCGCACGTATTCGACCATCACATGTACGCACCGTTTCAACGAGTCGTCCAGACGTGCTAACGCGCGGTTTTCGCTCCTCGAATGTAGGGTTTCAGGTTAGCGGTATTGCGATCGCTCAAAGTCAGTCTCCGTCCACAACCTACGCCGTGTGTCTACTAACGTGCCTTGCTGCGGACGACAGTCATCCTCTACCTACGCACGATCGCGATTTGGGAACGAAACCCGAAGGTCATGGGGATACTTGGGACGATGTTCATAGTGCGTCTTCCGCTTTACCTCCTCCTTCCTTTCTCCTTCTGACACTAACACCAACCATCGTGTGTGCCAGGCAACAGTCACAGTCGGCATCGTCTCCACGAAACGTGCTATGGACATGTTATCCTGTACGCTCCTCGTCGTACTCATTCAATTATACAAAGGACCAAAACTCGCTCTTCAGTTGCCCCGAACATCGTCGCCCCTCTGTGGTTCGGCTGCACGGTAAGGACGACGACGCCCATAATCCTCGTATTGGGCATCATGATACTCATCTCGGAAACGAGTGCGTCGCTTTACCTTTCTCGAACGCCGGTCGCCTGACGTCCAACCCCAGCTATTGTTATCCTTACTCTGATTAGAGCGTATCAGCGCCGTACGTCCTTGATGCAGGTTTTCGTGTCGTAAAATCTTGCTGACTTATCGTTTCTACGCAGTACGCTATTCCAATTCTTCCTGGGTCCATCAGCTGTACAAACGCGGGTATATCTATTATTTTTATATGCTAGGTAAGGGTGTGCCATTGACAATTCGTAACGCCTAACTGACTGGTGACTAACTTGTAGGACTCACAATCCTGAACATTGTAATTCCCTTCCTCGTCGTGGTATGTTCTCCCTATCTATATCTTGATGGCTAATTTAACCTCAACTGATCCTTTACTAGCCTCCTCTCCGAACGCTCTTTGCCGAGTACGTTACGATCCGACTTCCTCTTTCCCTCTCTGACTCGTTCTAACATACTCCTTTTCATTTTCTTCATCCAGCCCTCAACGCTGTCTCCACTCCATAATCTGCAACCGCATCATTTTCCTCATCCACAGCCGACAAAAAGTTGATCGCAGGACCGACGCAGATGACGAAGGCACCTCCTCGCGACGAGCCTCGCGAATGCCATGGTCGCAGACCCAAACTGGCGACGTCGTCATCCTCTCAACGGTCCTCAACACCTTCCATACCGACCCGGAACACTACGACGGCATATAAACGTCCAGTTCGGTGTACCGCAACTATCAAAACTCCTCCGAGACGGCTCTTGAGCTTGAGGCTCGAGTAGTACCTGGAGCCTCCGCAGTTGCAGTATCCCGCGGGACCCCCGAGCGTTTCGGCGTTTCGCCATCCATCGCAGACAAGGTACATGCATCCACTCGACCGCAATTGCGACGATATCTCTGCCCACGTATGCATGGCATATTCCGTCAAACGCAAGGGCGATGATCAAGCCGCCATCATCTTCACGTTTTCCTGTCCTCATGGTGGCCGGGACCGCGATCCCAATGAGGATAGATGCCGACGTATCGTATAGAAAGACCCTTACGCCTTCCATACGCCGCGTCCAAGAGTTAAAGCCACGCCTCTCCCAAATCTTTTCTCCGCTTTCTCCGTATCTTACGGCTGGATGGATGGATTTCCGGTTAATCAGATTCACGACCGACATTTCTCCGCTACTTTTGTTCCTTTACCTAGATTCCTGGTCGACGGTGTGTATCTCGTTGACATCTGTTGTAGCACTCCTAGTGACGACCTGCATGACCATGATGCAATTTTTTTCTCGATGATAGGCCTCGCTTACCTTCAAGTCATCCTCGAGCGTCGCAATATCATCTGACAAAGTTTTTATTTTACCCCATGTCGGATGTCGTGTTTCACGATTGGGTATGCAGCTAGGCAGGCCCTCAGCCTCGCCAACTTCTGATAGAGACTTTTGTGTCAGGTTTGTGGAGTCGAAAGCCTATCTCTTGAAGCTGCGATCGTCCCATATTGTGTCGCCCAGGCCCTCACATCAATGGATCTCCTTGTGCTTGTATTACCAGCCCTGGAGCGAACACCATTCGGTTACTTCGAGCGCTCCCCGTGGTGCATACCCGTGATAATCATCTCTCTCCATAGCAGATGGTACCTGGAAAGGCATATTTAGGCGCTCGGGAGATGGGGGCCCACGATATCATGATGCCGATGTCAGACTGCGATAGCAAGTATAGCCCTCCACGTCTCCTTCCATTTTTTGAGATCATGTAAACACTTCCCTGTCCAACTTTTGTCAAGCATCTGACGATTCTCCGAGTCATAGAGTGCCACGGCGGCGGATCGGCACGTTTTGGCTTCATCACGACCTCAAGCACTCAAAGGCTCAGGCTTGAATACTGTTTTGAAGACTCTCCAGCACGGCGGCGTCAAGCGTTCAATTGAATATGGCAACGACAAGTTGTAAAAAGGAGCTTTGAAGTATGCAAATAATTGCATGGTCAGTTCGTGCTGAGATCCCGGATACCTGGTAAGTATGACCATCGACTTACGTATTCCTCCCCAATAATATTTCTCAATACGCCCCAGGTCGATAATACTAAAGTCGTAGATCTTCTGTTACGGAATTCAATCGAGGTAGTCGGAACCTTCTAAAAATATTCCTGAATCCCTCCCATTGTGTCTTGCAATCTGTCTTCCTTTCACTGGCACCTCTCCACACTACAAACCCGAAATTATCTCCTGCTACCGAAGACGCGGTCGACGAAATAGTATGGCACACCTCCTGCCTTCTCAGTACGTGTCCCCTGGCTCTCCTTTTCGTCAACTAGCCCTCGGCTCGTACGCCGTGAATCCTCCGATTTCATTCGCTGCCCGGTCGTCGACGTGAATACCCTTTTTGTCCTGACAATCTTGAGCTGGATATGAAGTTTCAGTCCTCGCTTCTACTCACTTTCGCACTGACTCTGCTGATTATCACCCCAGATTTCTCCTCCTTACGCATGACAACCAGTAGTTCGTCTCCTTTGCAAGCGTTTCAAAGTGATCATTATTGTTCTTGTGTGGGTCGATCATGATGTCACCAAAGTGGCATCCTCTTCGACATTCCGCCGTCTGCTCTCCTCTGCTGGGTTCAAATTTTGGCATGTAGCTGGGATAACATGGTTATGAGGGGCTGATGTGCAGCGGTGTGAAGCTGTTAGCATTGCATCTGCTGATTTAGCGCCCGTACCTTATCTCCATCAGACGTGGGCGCTAACCGTATCATTCTGCGGGGGCAGTCGATCTCTTTCTTCGTTGCATTGCGACAGCCAATTCATCCACAAAGTCAACCGAAGTATACCGTCGGAGGGGTCCCCCTTTCGTCAGTGAGAGAGGGAAGAGGGGTAATATGGACACAAGGACGAAGGAAAGAGTCGTTGCCTGACTACACCTTCCAGATTCCAGGGGCAGCTCGCAGCTCGTGCGGCTCGAAGGTCAAGGCAACCATGCATTTTTACTTCACCTGCACTGAAAGACCCTGGCCTCCACCCACAACAGCAAAGACGCTGATTCGAACAGGCACCTCATTCACAGAGCCATTTGTTTCGCTATACCTCTCCATCAACATCGGTCCCTACACATCTTCTCGGGCGCTGATCATTCTGTTGACCAATCGCCACTGACATCAATCCCCCCCAATTGTATTCTTCATGTGGGCCAGTTGTCAACTGGAATTCAAGGGTTTAAAGTATGACACCTCTGCCCGAAGATGTCAGACACCCTTTTCTTTAGACTCCTTTTCGCATGCGTCTCCCATTTTCTGTTTCTTCTTTCTATGCAGACGCGGAGGTCAGGTCAACTCCCAGAGAACTTGAAGGTATTAGTAGTCTAATCGCCTCCAGTATCCTAGAGTCAGTTTAACGGAGCCTTCCCAGTTCCCTCGGTGATCTTCGACTTTATACCCTACATCATGACCTGGAATATTCTTCAAGCTTTTGCTCTGGTCTTGCACATATCCGTTCTGACGACCGTACTGCATTCCCGGAACATCCGCCGATCACCAACATGGCTACTCCTTGTCTTCTCTGGAATGCTCTATAGCGCTAGCTGTCTCTTCATTGTCACCCAGCAAGTAGGCCCACCCCCTTCCACAAGTATCTGTGTTATACAGGCCACGTTGATATACGCGTGCCCTGCTATGTACGTTGCACTTTTCGTCTATGGAGCTAAATTCTCGGCTAACCTCGCAAGCGTTGTAGGAATGGCGCCGCCGTTTGCTCCTTCATGTTGCAGGTGAACGAGTAATCACATTCTCGTTGTTTGTCATAATGGCTCAGGGAATGCAGGCATACTGGGTTGTCGCATCTCTTGGAAACCTCGGATCCGCTCCTGTATACCCCAAATTTAATCGCTGGGTACGTGCACTAAAATGCAATCATAGATATTGCCTCGCTCACTCACCGTAACTCAGGTGCTGGTGATACCTCCCTTTGTTTTCTATGTGGTTCTCGCGGAGGTTCTCATAGTGAGTCAAACACACTACTAGTATACACCGTACAAGGATATAAATGAGTTTTCAATAGGTCTACGCTGTTGATGATTCCGGTTTAGAGAGAGATTTGTCTGGAACACATTGTGGAATGAAGCAAAATCGTCTACCGTTAGTTCAATCTGTCCCTGCAGTTTACCTTTAAATTATTTGTTTCGCTAACGACAATTTTTTGACAGGGTCAGGGTCACTGCCGCGGTTGTGGTGATATGCAGCATCGTTGTGTTGATACTCGAAGGTAAATACATCGTTTCTGGGCTTCGGGAGTCACAACTTTTCAGCTGTCCACTTCTATAGCATTTATCTACACCAAGCTGCGAAAGGAATGGGATCGTAATGTCAAGAGTCTATGCGCGACTCAAATGCCGCCAAGAGTCATTGCGAGAGTCGCTATTTTTGGTCTTTTCGCCGTCAGTGCTTTGGTAATAAGGTTGGTACACATGGATGGCTCGAAAGCTCGCCCTCATCTCACTTCCCCTTCAGCTTTGCTCTCTCTGGATTTACTCTGGAGTCATATAACTCCCCGATTGCCGCAGCAGGCTCGAACTTGGCAATAGCAATCAGTAAGTTGACCATACCTAAATGCTGAGGCTATGCTAAAGAGAGTAAACATGGTCTTATTTCCAGTGCAAGCAGCACAAGCTTTGATTCTAGGCACGCAACGGGTAAGTATTCGTCGCAAGCCAAGATATGTCTTACATTGGAACTTTTTGAAGGACATTCTGAGTGTCTGGATGTTCTGGAAGAAACGACAACCTTCATACTAAGGTGTAAATGTACTCGCCGCTAAGTCCTGGAAGGGGGGGAGGAAGGGCTTGTCTGGGATCTAAATTATTGCAATGGTTTAGGGTCAGGGTCGAGACAACAAGGAACTTCCTGGCTGTACTTTGTAACTAGTTCCTTCAATAATGAATCTAAGCGCTTCGACTGCTATTGACGGTTTAAATATAACTTCGACTTCGGGCGCTTAATGAACTTCGAGCGTGGGGAAGTTTTGACACGTTCAAGGTTTCATTCAACTGCAGGGACATAATCCGCGAACGCATAGTTTTCCTCATCCATATAGCCGACAAAAGGTCGGCCGTAGAATAGACGATGAAGGCTCCTGCTCCCGACGACCGCATACCCGCACCAGTGACGCCGTTGCCCTCTCCACAGTCCTCAAAACCTTCCACTGACCCAGAGAACGACGACGGCATATCAGTTTGAATACCCCGCGACTACCGACACACCTCAGAGACGCCTGCCGAGGACTGAGAAGTGCCTAAAACGTCAACTTGGCCGTGTCAAAAATCCCCGTGCGTTTCGGTGATTCTTCCTCCAGTACATCCACTCGGCCGCAACTGCCACGGTATCTCTACCTATATATGCCTGGCATATTCGGTCAGATGCCCTGCAGGGTGTTAACCGGCCTAAGTAAAGCCATGGGCGCCGGGCGGAACGCGATCCCAATGTGGATAGATACACGACGGGAAGACCCTTGCGCGCGCCTTCCATACACCACGTCCGAAAGTTCAAACCATGTCTCTCCCGAGTTCGCCTGAATCGCCTGTTTCGTATCCTTCGTATGTATGAATTCCCAGTTAATTCTCGACTGACATCTTCCCGTTGCTTTCGTTCTTTTCCTTAGAGTTCTGTAATGATCAGCACAGTTATCCTCTGTTCACCGAGAGTGTATCATTTGATAAAATTTTAATTTATACCCCACGTTGGACGTCGGGTTTCACGATTGGGCGTGTGCAGCTGGGCGGGCCCTCGCAACCGTGCGCCGACCTAATAGAGAGTGCCTTTTGGATGCCGAAAGGGCGTCAGGGCGAGTCGGGGTCTCAATTTGGACGGAATAGCGCCCGAAACATGCGCCACGCGCACTCACCGCGTCATCGGCAATCCATTCACGAAAACTTGGCTCCGAATGGCTCTGCTCGCTTGGTCACCATCGACGATCACCTCTCGCGTTGCCTTTCCAAACGCTCTATACAGCCAGAGTCATAGAGAGACTTCCTGCCTCGGCTTATCGTGATCATATCCCCAGGCCCGCAATTTGAACCTGTGGGCTGTACGCTGTGATTCGGACTCGGAATTCGGATATCCAGAGCATGGCCGAACGGATCTGCTGCCTAAATTACCTCTGGCCATCAAACGGTTAGCCTCAAAGCGGGTGATGTGTACTCGGGTAAGGAAGGCATCATGATGATGCGTATTCCCGAAGTTGATTATGGCGACCGGCCCTGCAGGTTCCGTCCTCATAGGAGTCTTCCACCTAGACGAGTTGCCGGGGTAATTGCCTCTCTGCTTCTTACCATCTCCATGTCGTTGTTGGTCGGGCGTTGAGGGTGGTTCAACTATCTCGAGGTGAGTTTACTTGCTATTTCCCGCTGGCATTGTTAAGGCTTCAATGAGCGTCTGTTTAACGTATGTCTTAGGTGTCCTTAGGTCCGGAAAACTCGTGATAGAAGGGCCTATAAAATCGCAGAACTAGCGCCGTAACTGGGCGCCATGTCTTCTGTGAGCTGGCCTGTCCGTTCTGCTAACGGAACGATCTTGAGGAGGGTTTTAGGTGAGGTCGGGGAGAGCTGTGATATTCGCGAGCTTAACGGTCATGGTAAGCTCGAAATTACAGAGTCTAATCGCGCCATGCTTAACTTCAAGACAGGCGTACGACTATGTATGCACTCTGGAGAAAGAGGTGCGACTTAACGGCCTCACTTTCGCTTCATTTACGTGACCATTTTCCAGATCAACTACGTCTGGAAACAGCCATTCATGATGGGCTGCCTCCTGTTCTACATCAATCGTTATCTCCCATTCGTAGTCCTGATGCTAGCTATCAGCAGTAAGTTCGCTTTCTTCAAGCTGCTATGCAACTGACCAAAGGCTCACTGATCTTTCAGTCATGCTTCCTGACGTCGATCCCGAGGTTCGTGCTTGTCATTCTTCAAGTTCGCGTTCCCCACGGCCTAGTCGCTTATTTCTTTTGTACTATAGACATGTTATGTGCGGTTCAAAGTGATATGCTGTAAGCGCCTCTCTGCCTCACTGCACTTCCTTGGCTAATTTCCGTAAGGCCTCGTCATGCTCAGTTTCATCGTGTCACAAAGTACGTGGCCGTTTCGTTATCGCCTGCCTGAGTCTCGTTGCTTGCCTCATTGCCAGCCTCGTTTCTGACCTTCTCGTAAATCACAGTCATTTTGATTCTACGAACGTACGCTATGTGGGGCCGGAAACGTTGGGTATTGATTTGCCTACTATGCACCGGAGTTGTGAGTGGATTGCTTGCCTTTTCGACTCGTGCTGATCCATAATAAAGTTTTGCCTTTCACCTTCAATTGTGATCACCCTCGCCGTCGTCGTCCCGGCGCTCCACTGTAATTATCCTTCCTTTTTCTTTTCTCGCTCCTGACGTATACTCTAAATTAACGGTTTATTTGTTTAGTCGAGCCAGTCAGAATAGATGGCCCAGGCTGCAGGGTTACTGCTGCAAGCAATCTGATCGCAGTGCCCTACCTTCTAATCCTCATCTCCGAAACCGTCGTCGTCGGTCTGACCCTGGTTAGGACCTACAAATATCGTGAGCTTCCTCCGTTTATTGCACCCCGAGAACGCCTAATCACACCTCTATTTCATCAGTGCGATACTCCAACTCGACATGGATACATCAGCTGCATCAGCAAGGCAAGGAGCAACATTTCTTTTCTTAAACTCGCTCCTGATATCCTTGTTCCTCGTGCAGGGCTTCTCTTCTACGGATACATGTTTAGTACGACATCTTCCACGTTTCAAGGCTGTCGAGGCACTGACATCTTCTATCCGTCAGTAATCACCATCTCAAACACCATCTATCCCTTCCTCGTTCCGGTACGTCGTCTCTCCTATTCCAATCATGTCATGTTTTGAGCTTAACCCATCATGACCCCCCAGTCGCATCAGAAGAACAATCTCGCCATGTAAGCTTCACCTCTTTTTTCCTGCAACCTTTCTTTCTCTATATCTGACCACGTTTCGCAGGATACAGCATATGGCTCACTCCCTACTCTGTAGTCGCGTTATCTTCCTGATCCTCGAGCAGCGAGAAAAGCTCACGATGACCCACGCCACGACCGTCCCAAACCGCTCTTTAGTCCTATCCACCGTGATGTTCGACGGCGACGGCGACGTCTCCCTCGCAGATATATAGAGACAATGGATCAAATGATGTACTCACATTGTATTTTTACTCCTTCAATCTATCGTTCATCGCGCGAGCCCGGGAGACCAGAGTTTGAATTCGGGAGGTGTGGCGTCGTGAGCGAACGGGAGTTGCCGAAACTGACAGCCAATCAGCTGTGACGCCACGCGGGGACCGCCGAAAGGGCCCGAAACCACGCCGAAACACACCTCCAACACGAAACCTTGACGGCGGTCTGTCTCGCGAGCCTATCTTCTTCTGTATTCCCTCTGCTGCTACCTCTGATCCATATCCTCGATTTCAGACACTTATTCTCTAGGCTTAACCGCTACAAGTCAGGTTCTACTTTGTCTAAGTCTCGTAACTCGAATTTTAGGACACCATCATTCGACTTTTGGGCTCGCCAGGTTCTCCGTTCTCAAGCATTCACCTCGTTCACCAACGGCGGTAAATTCCACTAAATTATTGCCCTTCTATGGTGCCCAAAAAAAATACAACGGCCTCTAAACGGAATTCTGCCCAGCTGGCTCGCTCGGCGTCTTCCACGGTCTTTTCCTTTTATCGTTCTGGATAGGAGGCGCAAATCTACCTTTTCTGGCGAGCTATTGGACGCGACGCGGTAGATTTGAATGCACCGCTCTTGGCACAACGAGGGTGGCATGCCCGTGTCAGCGCTCGAGCACACGGTAAGGTATTTTCATTTAGACTTTCCAGTTCCTTACCTTCATCCTCTTTGACGGTTGCACTAAGGAGATCCTGCAGAACCTTCTGAACGGTGTTCTATTTTCTTTGTTCGACTCTTGGCCTCCATCCGGGACATGCACTCCTATTCTCCTGCGAAACCCGTATGATTCTCGCTCCTACCCAGAGATCTGTCTGAATGTTTCCCTTTCCCCGGACCTCACCTTCCCCTCCACACCTACTGCCTCTTGGCCTGCATCCTTGACGAAGGTCGTCCTGAAGATCCTGCACCGTCTCCGACTTGCCCTCGAATATAGAGTTGCCATCATCGCTTCGCATATGGCAAGAGGTGGGTTCGATTTCCCACATATGTTGGAATGTTACCCACCCTCATTTAGATGTTCGCACTCTGACTCACGCGCTTTGCCATGCTGGGGCAATGCAGGGCTGCCCTTGAGAATTTTTTCTAAAAACAAACCTCACTCCACGACGCCGTGACGCCGCAACACAAAGTCCTCGACACGAAGTGATTGGATTTCTCCGAACAGTCCGCAGGAGCGCCCACAGTCGACAAAGTCCGTTGATGTTTGTGGGCTCTTCGAAGCCATCCACTGCCTCATTGAAAGCAGCCATCTGTCGGAAATCAGGAATCAGCTTCTTGATTCCTGTAGGTACACTTATCTTTCCCGGTCCGCTACAGTTAACCCGAAGACTTCCTTAACTCCCTTTCAGTATAAGCCTAGGTGGTATTTTCGTCTGGGGACCTTCGAAGACTTCGAACAGTGATAGCGGTGGAGAAGAGCACTGGGGATGGGCCCGCAGTGGGAGAAGGTTGTTGCTGAACGATTGGGCTGAAAGAGTATGCTTCTGCTCTGCTATTTTCTGCTCAAACGCCTAACATACCCTTTTATGAAGAGTCCTGAAGAGTCGAATCTGATAAGCTTCTCGGTGGGACCGCTAGTGTCTGAATCGGTCGGATCCGCGACGGTGTGGCGTCCTATTCATAGGACGTCGGGGACATTTCCGGTATTGACGTTGTGCAGGTTCAGCATCGATTAAACTCTGTCTTGCCCTGTGGCTGGAGGAAAGGGATCGGAACGCTGAGATGGGGCGCAGGGAAGTGGAATGTGGGTAAAAACCGCTGTTCTGGCCCCATTTGTTGTGATAATGAAGGCAGTTGGAGAGAGATCGCTTCTAACGTTTGTGGGCATGAATGATCGTCATCAAACCCGGTTGACAGCTTCATCAACGCTCGAGTGCCAAGTCCGTTCTCTCTGGGGGTACTCCAGCTCCCCCTCGAGCACCCTACAGACCTCTGGTGCGAGCGTCTGAAGGTGCGGACGGAGGAGGTGATATTTGGGAGCTTGAACTAGCGCATGGGGGAGGGTGATGGGATCACAGATCTCCAGGATTTGTGTATCATGGGGCATATCAGCTAGGCAACGGACGGGGTGCCCAGAAAAGCGGGTTGGGCCCAGTCATGTGTACCTGTTCAGGGTCCCCTCCATCAAAAAAAGCGACTGCTTTTCTCCGCACGACTTCTTCGCCACTTTCTCCTTCGTTCTTTCATGCCGCTCTGAAGCGCTGCTGGTCCGTCGTCTCTCTGGCATCCTCGAACGCCCTTTCTCAACCGCTGCTTCGTGCTTAGACGAGCGAGCAGGCTGTGAGGCTGCCTCTGAGCGCAGGTTCGTCCTTTTTTCCGCGCGTCGGTGCCTATCCTCGCTCACCCGCACCCCCGCGCGCCCACTTAGGGTTTCTATCGCAGCATGTACATATACGTGAGTCGCATTACAGCGGTCATCATTGGAGGGGATTCTTATGTGGGCGTCGATGCAGAGCGATGAGTATCAACTTGGGGCCTGTGTGCTAATAGCCAGCGCTACGGTTTTGGTGAGTCGTCGCGCTTTTGCTTCCGCGCCTTTCTAATTCATTCTCGAAAACAGGTCTTTGATTTCTTCCTCACGCTGCACGAAGAGGTGTGTATCTCCTACGACTTACAGCTGGAGCCGCCCGTTAATTTTTGTGTCAAGATCAATCACATATGGATGCAACCATGGACGCCAGGGACTGTAATTTTCCTTGTGAACCGCTATCTGCCATTTGTCGACACATCCATGGTGTTGTATCGTGCGTCCTCGCCTTCCCTACCCTTCTGCCTCATCTGACATTCGTTCCAGTCCAATTTACGACTACCAACATCGACGTATGCCCCACGTCCCTCTATCACGACCCTCCCAACTAACGCAATCTCTTCTCCAGATGTGCAACACGTACTATCATGTATCAACATGTACGCCCCTTCGCCTCTCTCCCTTTCCCCATCTCACATCCTCCCAGGGCTAATAGCGGTCGGTCTGATGGTATCGGAGCGTACGTGCTGGCACCATCGCCCGCCTCCTCGCTCTACCGACTTTCCCTCTTACTCACCTTCACCCTCCCAGTAATCCTGCTCCTGCGGACATACGCAATGTGGCAACGGCGCCGAATAATCCTCTACATTCTCGGCGGGATGTCCTTCGTAAGTCCTGCACACCCACACTGCCTCCTTGCACTACTCCGCTCCGGTGCTCACGCAATGTTTCATCCTCTTCATCCAGGCGACGTTCGGGCCTGGGATTGCACTGACATATCTAGAGCTCAGATCGCTAGAATGTAAGTACTTAACTGAGGCCCGTCTCTCCCGCCGCCGCCGTTCATCTCCACTCCCTTTCTCCTCGGGGGCGAGTCGTGTCCGTGCCGAATGCTGCCTGTCCGGAACGAACGGGATGGGGACGAACGGGGCGGACGCTTTCTGACACTTCACTTCCACCGACGCTAACATTCTTATTTGTTTTGCTTCTTCTCCGCTCGTCTCCTCCGCTCAACAGTCGGAGAAGTGCCAGAAGGCGGACTGGGCTGCAGGCTGCTGAAAGCGAGCAAGCTGATCTTCGTCACCTACGTGCTGGTGGCCCTCTCAGAAACAGGTATGTCTTCTCTCCTCTCCTCCCTCTCCTCTCTTCCATCGCCCAATACCATTCTGATATCCACCCCCTTCTTCTCCTTCTCCTTATCACAGTGGTGGTCGTTCTGACATTGATGAAGGGCAAGGAGCACCGTACGTATCATTCATTCCCATCCTCTTCTCGCCTTCCCACTGCCCCTCTATCACCCACCACCCTACCACCTATCACACCACCCATCACACCCACTCCACTCCACGCTAACCACCCACCTCACAGTCCGGAGCTCCCAGGCGTCCTGGGTGAAACATATTTATCGACACGGTGCGTTCTCTCCCCTGCCATCGCGCTTCTAGGCGGGCGATTACAACAAGGGGGTGCTAATATACTAATACCGCTTGTACATGCAGGTCTTCTTTTCTATATGTACCTACTAAGTGCGTCTTTTTCTCTCGAGGCTGCTTAATTGATTAAGATTTCATTATGTTGTGAAATCGAAATCGTGGAAGGGGTTGAAGTGCCGTTACTGACATGCCGGCACCGTTCTCTCTTCTAGGCATTACTATAATGAACGTGGTCGTTCCTCTCGTCGTAGCGGTACGTCTCTCCTTCCCTTCCTTCCATCCTCCCTCTTCCCACCCCACCCCTTCTCACACCCCCTCCAGGAACCCCAATACAAGAACTACCTCGCCATCCCCCAGCGGATCTTCCACTCCGTCTTCTGCAACCGCGTCATCCTGCTCATTTCCCGACAACGCTCGTACCGCGTGTACACCGACCGGCTGGAGATGACGCGCCCGCGGAGCATCACCAAAACGAACCTGACGGGGAACATGCTCGATACTGCGATTGGGACGACGTATGAACGGCGCGAGGGGGATGTGGATATGCTGTCGGATACGGCGGAGGGGATGGAGGAGAGGGATGTGTTTGGAAGCGGGAGTGGGACGGGGACGAGTGCGGGGCTGGGTGGGATAGGCATGGACGACCGCGAGCAGCAGCATAGGGTGCACGATCTCTCGTTGGTCTACCGCCAGGATTGGACTCGATAGCGCTCCTCTCGTCGTTGAGTAGAGTACGTGCTACCCTTCTCTTTCCTCTCTACCTTCACCCTCATCGACATCTTTTGCACGTCCCCATGCGTGTTCCTCATCATCACTGTACCATCCCATCCCATCCCATCCCACCACTTCATCTTCGTTATTTCTGTTAACGTTCCATCATTAGGGTTTTTCTACATATTACGAAAAGACCGTTGTACTTCCTAGTCGAGCCCTTACCGCTCACCCATCTGGCTACCATGGTTCGGGCTGCCACGATACCTACCACCCCCTTCATTGACGCACACACACACGCACTACCACCCCGTACTCGTTACTCGTACCTCACTCCGTATTATAGATATTCAAGTTCTTTGAACCTTGGCGACTTCTGTCTGTCTCCCTCTGTGAAGATTCCTGTCCGTCTGGTCTTCCGACTCCGAAAGGCCTCCGAGCGTGCTGAAAGTCTTCCGCTAAATTCTGCATCATCTCGTCCAACGCGGCTGCTCGTGTGCGCCACACTCACTCCTGGAGATCAAATTATCAATGGAGACCGCTCTCGATTTACATAAATTCCTTAAGCTTCACCACATCGAGGCTCGACTGATCACCTTGCAATTAATCCCAACGCTATAAATACCACTCTTACACGCCTACATCCCCAGAAAGTGCATTACAGCTAAATGCAAAACGATAGAGCTTTTCGCATAGCGTTCTTCTTCAGCAAGTTGTTTACACCAAACTGTGCCTTTACTGAGTTGGGACGAGTTCATGACCTTGCCGACCATGCCGAAGGTCTGCGTCGGCACCTCCCGACCTCAGCCAACGATGACCGCGCTGACGTCCACCCGGTGCCTTCCTTTCCCTGCTTTGAAACTAGAGAGGCACTACGCAAAACACAAAAGATATTGAATCTTGTAATTTCTGTCAGAATCCCCTGCTCGACAGGTGTTGAAGTGGTCGGTGGTAGGTGTTTGGTCTGGCCCCATCAAAGTCCAAATAGACGCACTGAACATGAACGCGAGGCGAAAAGCTCTATCGTTTTGCATTTAGCTGTAACCATTAACCATTCATAAAATCGATGCTTCATACTCCTTACCCATACTAAATCGGCAGAAACCAAAAACTCTTTCTTCGTCTTGCCTATCTTGCACATCACCTACCTCGTCCTCGCCTTGTGTCTAACCCACTGCCCACCTTACCCATCCCAACATACCCTTCTCCTCTCCAACTCCGCCCCCCTTCATCTTCCCCCAATCCAACTTCTCTTCCCCGTCACCTTGACTGTTGGACAGATCGACACTTCATCTCCACGTCAATCCCAAACACCAAATACCAGTCAGAAGTCAGAAGTTACGTCGAACAAACTACCGTGGGGTAAGTACATAGAGTAATACTAAGTATATTACTTGACGACACCGCTTTACCACCGCACCGCACCGCACGACACTGCACTCGTCGACGTTGGTACACGCGAATAGAAGGGATGGGCATAGAAGATAGTCTATCTTTTCGAAGTCGAAGCGTACGTGCTCTGGTAATAGCATACTTAGCATGCATATGCCGTATTTTTACCCACCACCACCACCAACCACACCGACGAAGACAATTATTCCAAGATTTTTTACTACTCGCACGACCACGAGTAACTAGCATAGTACCGAGGCTCGAAGCTCAAGGCTCGTATGCGAGTAGAGTATCCATCTACCTTACCCTACCAGACGCCACGCTCCGAGTACAACTAATCTTGCCCCTCCGCCTCGGGCACCGACAGGTCCCACCTGCCGTACAGCATGCTGGGTAAAAATAGACGTTGGTTAGCATCTGGTTCGCTATAGATATAGACGGAGAGTCAAGAAAAAGGAGATGAGGAGAAAGGAGAGAAGGAGAGAAGGACGAAGTGGGAAGAGACGGACGACGGAGCGGAGGGCGAAGGACGATTGGAAGGGAAGAGACGGGACGGACGACGGAAGGGAAAGGTCGTTTTGGGAAGGAGGAACGGAGAGAAAGGAAGAGGAAGAACGAAAGAGAGGAGGGGCAACAGGGCGAAAGGAAAGGAAGGAGGAAACGAGGAAGAGGAAGAAGAACGAAAAAGATAGAGGAAGAGGAAAAGGAAGAGGAGGAAAGGAAGAGAGGGAGGAAGAGGAACAAGAGACGAGAATGGCACTCACTCAAACAACGCCATGATCGTCCACTTCCTATTATCCGCCTCTTGGAACACGAGCGAGCGCGGGCCGTAGAACACCTATTTTCCAATTATCAGCTCCCTGCCTTACCCACCCCCACCCCCATTCAACCCCCCAAAATAAGTCTAAACGCCTACGCACCTCATCGTCCACCTCATCCCCCTTCCTCGGCAAACAATGCAAGAACTTCCAGTCGGGATGCGCGTGCCCGGCGCGGCAGAGCTCTTCGGTGACTTGGTAGCCAGAGAAGGCGCGTAGACGCTCGGCTTTTTCGGATTCTTGACCCATTGAGATCCTGGGGGAGGGAGGGGGTTAGTCGAGGAAGATTGCGTGGAATGGGAAAGAGGTGGGGAGGGGAAAGAGGCGAGGAAGGCACAAGGGAGGAAGGAAGGAAGGAAGGAGGGAAGTCGGCAGGAAAAGTCGGCAGGAAAAGGAGAAGACGAAAGTCGGGAGGCAAAACTAGAGGAAGAAGAAACACAACATCGGGCAGACTCACCAAGTATCCGTAACGACCACCTCCGCGCCATCAACCGCCTCCTTCGGATCCTCGCCCCACCATATCCCCTCCTCACAGCCCAGCTGCACGACGCGATCCCACACGGGCTTGGGGGCGCGGTACGCCGGCGGGCTCGCGACACGGAGCTTGTGGCCGAGGCGCGGGTAGGTGACGAGCATGTCGTGCAAGACGTTCGCCGAGTCGCCGACGTACGCGATCGTCAGCGGTGGCAGGTCGGGGAGGCCTTTCCCTGGTTTTGAGGGTTTGGTGGGGGCGGAGGGGGAGTCGGAGAGGGCCGACATGGCGTGAAAGAGGTGCGCGTGCTCGTGCAAGGTGAGGATGTCGGCGAGGACCTGGGTCGGGTGCCAGAGCGACGAGAGCGCGTTGAGTACCGGGACGGGCGAGTACTTGGCCAGCTCCTACAAAAAAACATGTCAGCTTCAGCTGTCTCCCCAACTAATTCCTCCTTCCACGTACCTCAACCTCCTCGTGCTCGCCCACACGCGCGAATATGCCCTGGCACATCCCCCCAATCACCCTCGCCGTATCCCTCGGCGTCTCATTCACACCCAGCTGTATATCTTCTTGTCCCAGGAACAGCGCGTTGCCGCCCAGCAACGACGCGCTCGTCTCAGCCGCGAGGCGGGTACGCGTGCTGCGCTTGGAGAAGAGCAGCGCGACGGTCTTGCCGAACAGCGACGGCGTGGGCAGGCGCAGGTTCTTGCGCTTCATCCCCGGGTACATGGGCGTCATCCAGGGCTCGGAGCGCCGTTTGAGGGAATGTGAGTGCGTGAGGATGCGTTTGATCTGCGGCACGCTCAGGTCGGCGAGCGTCATAAGGTGAGGGACTTGCTTGGGGAGCGCCATGGTCGTCGTCGTTCAAGTTGAGGAGTCAGAGTCAGACGAGGCGTTGAAGAAAATGACTCGTCAGGTGACACCGGCCCGACATCCGCTGAAGCCTGCCCCAACGCGAAATCCGAGTCGCGTGCTTCACCTTGCTTCACCCTCAACGTTCAACATTCAACCCAGGCTTCTGCGTTTCAAATTTAAACGCTCAGTGCTCAGCTGCTATCGCAATTTCACAAATTTCCCACTAAGAATAATCTGAAAATCAACAACGAGACGAGGCGACAGACAATACTTCCCCTCGCCTCAATCATAATGTCTGCAACTTTGCACTCCAAGCTATGGCCCATGCCCAACCTCCTAAAGTGGAACGCGACTCGGAGGTTACTAAGGCGCTAAGGCTTCTGGCTCTTCTCGGTTGGAGCACCTTTCTTGGTATTGTGAGCGATCTTTATTCCTGAAGCAAGCACCGGGCCAGGCGTAGCTGACGACACACCAGGCAGTAAAGAGCTTTAAATTGAAGCAAGCCACAAAGTGTCCAGACACTCCGCACGCTGACCAGTGAAGCTGAAGAACTGCTATTAGCCACTGGCCAACCCTTGCCAATCGCGCTTGAATTCATGCACACAATACAACACATTTGAACCCTCAGGCCTCAGGTCTCACCATCTCAGGGCCTCTATTCGATCTCTCTGCTTTCTATAATACTGGTACCACCATCCCCGACTTCTCTCATTTCCCCACTGCAGGCATCAGCACCAGTGTACCGTATCCTGTATCCCATGGGCTGTGGCACTATGGCACTATGACCAACCGAGTCCGATTCCACGTCTTTCCACCATACCATACTTACCTGCTGCTGGCCATTCGGACGACTGACGCCTCGTACCACTCAACAACGACATCAGTGATCTCAACATCAGCAAGGATGCGGAGGATGTCTGGCGTGGCATCACGAACAGCCCCGGCAGTGGTGGTATTAGGACGAACAGCAATCCACACAACGACGGGGCCGAAAGTCTTGTCCTCGCTGCCATCCTCAATGGTCGAGAAGCGAGCTGTTGTGAGCATGGAGTACTTGAGCCCGCGGGCCTTTATCAACGCCAGGATCCGAGGAGCGACGGTATCGTGCCACACGTCGTTGAGCGGCGTGTTGAAGACGCCGTGGGCAGTCTTGGTGGGGATCTTGAAGAAGCTGGTTCCGGGCGGGGGGATGGGGAAGGGATTGGTCTCGAGATCGGAACGCTACATGAGCTCGGGAGGGTTGCCAGAGAATCAGATGCCATTGTACCAGAAGTTCATCTCATACTTGGAGATCAGGTCAGGGGCGACGACGGTGTGGGGGTCCGAGTCGTTGATGAGCTCTGAGTAGAGGGTCTCGGCCTCGGGAGAGGCGGGCAGCTGAGTAGCGTCTTGTGGGGAGCCTGGACCGGGTAGCGCTGGAGATGAAGCAGGTCACGGCTGAAAACAGAAGAAGGTGTGAGTAAGTGGGAAATGAAACATGCAAAAAAAGAAGATGGAGAGACTTACTGCCTAGGTGATCGGGGCGGGCCTTCACCGTCTCGACGATACGTTTGACATCCGGAGCAGCGTCTACAAGGTGGATGGGCAATAATGAGTGAGAGATGGACGTGTGTAATGACAAAGGGGGAAGGGGCTCACTTTCGCCCAGGAACCCGAGGGCAATGAGCTCGGCGTCGCTCAGGTCGACGATCTCTGCGGGAAACGCTCAGGAGTCAGCACTCGTAACGAAGGGGAACGACGGGCGCCACTCACTCTTGTTCAGATAAGCTGGATCCATGGCAGAAGAAAACGGTTTACGAGAGGTGGTAGTAAGAAAGCGCAAGTAAGTAATCGAGTGAGTGAGTCGAGTCCGTGAATATCTAACGTTTTGGCCAGGGTTTTCATCTGAAACCTCGCCCAAAGTCCTCGGCAAATGTCTCATTTTTGTCATCATTATTCCCTTATCTGTTATCACGATTCACACTTCGGCAGGCACAGTTCTTGGCGTCCTCTTTATGTCACGTGATCCTTCACCCAAGTCCCGCCGGCCCGAGAGTAAGTCGCCGGTCACGTGTCTACACAGAATTTGCGTTCAATCGTTTGAACTTGGGTTCTAACTTCTACCTGATTCTTGCTTTGCCACCTTCTGATCCACCTCTTCACGACCCTCTCGAATACCCCCGACGGACTCTGAACGCATGGTACGCCTGCGCAGGGAGAAAGGTGGGGCAACCAGGCCATCCCAGACCCAGCCTGGTGCCGTTTCGAAGAACGACTTGAAGGGGAAAGAGGTGAAGGGGAAACGGAAGGAAAAGGACAAGGGCAAGGGCTCGATATCGATATCGAAGGACGCGATCCTGGCGCTTGGAGGCGAGGAGGCGGATATGGATCTGTTGAAGGGAGTGGATGAGAGTGCGGTTGCGGTGTCTGGGCAGGAGAACCATGATGTATGCCTTTTTTTTTGATATCTGCAGCTTTCGATCGCCGTGACACGGATTTCGCAGCCTATGCTCAGTAAAGATGTGTCCAAGTTCTTGAAGGGGCTTAACCTAAAGGACAGCCATCCCCAGCCCCAGCCAAAGAAGAACAATGGGAAAGGCAAGGAGAAGGTGAAGGCCCTCTCTGAACAACCCTCGACGAAAGAAAAGTCCACGTCAATATCAGAACCAGACAAATCGACAAAACCTTCCAAGAAAACCCAGAAGGAGAGATCGAAGACGAAGGCGAAGACATCATCCGCTACGAACGCCGCCTCCGTCCCTGCGCCCCCCGACCAGCCCAAAACGACCGTAAAGCTCCCTGCGAAAGTTCCCATCAACCCCAAATCGCACTTCGTCTTTACCCCGACCTCGCAGTGGTATGCCGCTCTTCCCGCCCTGCCTCCCCAGGCTCCTCCCCCTCCCCTTCCCACCCCCGCCCAGTTCGCCTCGCTCTCCTCCAAAGCCGCCCAGCTCCATGCAGCCGACACCGACACCTTCCTCACCTCCTCCGCCGCCTCCTCCGCTTCCGCCTCCGAGGCGTCCTTCATGGCCAAGATCATCCAGTCCGGAACGTTGTCGAGTAGACTGAGTGCGCTGACGCTGCTCGTGCAGAGTAGCCCGGTGCACAACACCAAGGCGCTGGAAGGGTTAAGGGGGTTGGGGGAGAGGGGCAAAGGCAAAGGCGGGAGAGAGGAGAGCTTGAAGGCGCTGAGGTGTGTTGTTGATTGGTGGGTTGGGGGCGGGGTACCGGGGCGGAAGTTGAGGTAGGTGGTTTTGTCAAAAAATGGAAGGGTGTTGCTGAGGATTGGATTCGACAGGTATTTTCGAGATCAGCCGTTGTTGCATCCTGGGGTGACGGACGAGTATTTGGTGGTGTGGTACTTTGAAGACTGGCTCAAGAAGTACTTCTTCTCCATCCTCCAGATCCTCGAGGTACGCCTCTTGTTCTTCACTTCAACTTACCACCCTCTCACCCCCTTTCCCCAGACACTCTCCCTCGACCCCCTCCCCTACGTCCGCACCCAGTCCCTCACGCTCATATCCACCCTCCTGCGCGACTCGCCGGAGCAGGAACACAACCTCCTGCGGCTGCTCGTGAACAAGCTCGGCGACACCGACAAGGCGCTCTGTGCGCGCGCGTCGTGGCATTTGCTGCAGCTGCTGCAGAGACATCCGGAGATGAAGGGTGTGGTGGTAAGGGAGGTGGTGGGGATGGTTATGCGGCCGGGTGCTGGCATGTCGGCGCCGGCGGAGGCGTCTGCTGCGAGTACGGCTGGGGCAGCAGGAGGAAAGCATATCAGGTTTTCTGAGGCGGAGAAACTCAAAACGAAGCCCCAAACGAAACCCAAGGAAAAAAGACCAAGCAACGCACACGCGCGGTACTACGCCGCCGTGACGTTCAACCAGATCGTCCTCTCACCCGGCGATCGCGATGTCGCACTCCGCCTCTTGGACGTGTATTTCGAGATGTTCAAGGAGGTGCTGGGCGAGGGGTCCGAGTCTGACGTCCAGGAGGAGGGGGCACCTGCTGCTGCTGAGGAGGTGAAGACGGATAAGAACGGCCGGGTGCTGGATGAGAGCAAGGCGAAGGGCAAGGGAAGGAAGGGGGAGAAGGGAGGAGGAGAGAAGAAAGGCGCAGCGGGCTTCACAGAGGTCGAAGACGAGAACTCGCGCCTCGTCTCTGCGATCCTGACGGGTGTGAACCGCGCGCTGCCGTTCGCGAAGGTGGACACGGAGGATGCTGGGTGCGTCCCTTCCTCTTCCTTGTTGGCGGGTTTTCTGTGAAGGCTGATACGACGGTGGATATAGGATCAACAAGCACATCGACACGCTCTTTCTCATCACGCACAAGTCGACGTTCAACATCTCGCTCCAGGCGCTCATGCTCATCCAGCAAATCACCGCTTCCCTGCTCTCCTCCTCTTCCCCTCCTCCTCTACCACCGCCACCACCACCACCGCAAATTCCATCATCGACAGGTACTACCGCACGCTCTACGCCTCTCTATACGACACGCGCCTCGCGACCTCCTCAAAACAGGCGATGTACCTCAACCTGTTCTTCAAGAGCGTCAAGGCGGATGTAGGACACACGGAAGGTAACGAGAGGGTCAGGGCGCTCGTGAGGCGGTTCGTGCAGGTGCTGGTTAGTGGGGGTGGGGGCGCGACGGAGTTCGTGGCTGGGGGGCTGTATTTGCTTGGAGAGGTGCGGGGGGTTTTTTTTTGTCGGGAAGTGTGCTGATCGGGGTTAATTTTAGTTGTTTAGCACGATACCGGGGTTGAGGCAGATGGTTACGCGACCACTAACGGAGATGAAGGAAGGGGGGGAGGAGTACGACCCGAGGAAGAGAGAACCGCAGTTCGCACATGCAGGGTCGTCGCCTTTGTGGGAGCTCGTACGTCTACATCTCCTTTGTTCATTGATGCAAGTAAGCTTAAATTGACAAATCATGCGTAGACGTCTCTCCTGAACCACTACCACCCCGCCATCTCCCTGCACGCGCGCCAGCTCCTCTCCTAGCAGCCCCTCACTGCCTCCGCTGACCTCTCGCAGAACACCCTCTCGCACTTCCTCGACCGGTTCGTGTACAAGAACCCCAAAAAGCTTAAAGCGTCCAAGAACGCCGCCGAAGGCGATGACGCGAATGTGAGCACGATACCCGGCGCGAAGGGTGCGAGCGTGATGCAACCTGCGGCGAGCGCGCTCGAGGGAGTGAAGTTGGTGAAGGGCGAGATGCCGGGTGGCGGTGGGCTGGGGGTGAACGAAAAGGCGTTTGTGAGGAGGAAGAGGGGCGAGGTGCCGGTTGATCAAGTGGGTGGATTTTGTTTGTTTTTTTGAGAGAGGTTTGAGTTGATGGTTTGGTTTGTAGTTGTTCTTCCATGATTATTTCACGAGGAAGCAGGAGAGGGAGAAGGCGATGACGAAGAAGAGGAAAGATGGTGCAGAGGATGAGGAAGAGGAAGAGGAAGAGAATGGCGAAGAGCAGGAAGTCGAGGAAGGAGAAGAGGACGGCGATGTAGGAGACCATGAAGGCGAGGCAGTGAAGTTGGCAGGCAGTGATTGGGACGAAGAGGCGGATAGCGATCTCGAAGAGGAGGAGATCTGGAAGGTGCGTTGCACACTTTCTCGAACATGAGTCGCTATATTCATTCATTTTCAACCAGGCCATGAAAGCATCCATGCCCACCGCAGGCGACGATGACCTCATGGACGATAGCGATAGTGAAAATTCGGAAGATGAAGATGAAGTGCCGGACTTTGGAGATGACAGTGACCTCGCCATCGAGGACGACCTCGAGGACGACGATCAGGCAGAGGATAAAGATGCTGAAGAAAAAGAGGACAGCGACGACGACCTCATGTCCCTCGTCGAAGGGTCTGATAACGAGGACCTCATCTCGCTCGACGGAGACGTGCCCGAGGGTCTCATCGAGTACGACGGATCCGACGACTCCGACGACGGCAATGCCGACCCGGGTGTGCTCCTACCTGATGCCGACGCCAACGTTGACCCAGAGGAGGAGTGGCACGGTATCGGTGTCGGCACCTCGAAGAACGACAAGAAGAGGAAACACGACGAGGCGACGGCCGGTGGGAAGGGCGGCAAACGCAAGAAGCTGCGCTCGCTACCTACATTCGCGAGCTATGAGGACTATGCGAAGTTGATTGAGGAGGGGCCGGAAGATGATATTTGAATTTGATAAAGCCAGTGCAACCTGCAATTGATCCCGCCTTCTCCTCTTCTAGAGTGAACGAACCTGAGGCCTGAGGCCTGAAGCTTGAAGCTTGAAGGCTCAAAGACAAGCTGTGAAGGATGCTAGATGCTATATTCACAAACTTCTCTTCAGATACACAGCACTCGTTCTCCATCCGGCTCTGTCCAGTTCTGCACCTTTACTCGTCTTGCTGTCGCTACATTTATTAGAAGGATCTGCAAACCGGAGTCCATCGTAGAACGTCAGCTGAGACACAGGTAAACTTCATACGCATTCCTTCCACGATACTGGACATTAAGTCCACGTCTTGGTGGTCTTTGTAACTAAGCTTTGTTCCTCAATCGCTTCTCTTCTTCCTATCCCCTACTGAGGACCACGGCCTGTCGTGTCTAGGTCCACAGGTTATGGGCTCCAGCTGAAGATGAACGGCCCTGATTAACACCGAAGGCCGAAGGTCAACAAGGAAGATAGGGCGGTGCCACACGCGTAAGCGAGAGTTCATGGGCAGAGTTCAGCTTTTCTTATTAGATGACCGTCTCGCAAACGATCAGATTAGTCGAATGAACAAATATGTGCTCTACCTGCACCGAAAGAGTCAGCCAACCCCCTCCGGGATGCATAGATGAAAGTACGCACTCTAATGACTCTAGCACATCCACAATTTCCCACTACCACTACCCGCACCGATGCTGCTGAATTTCAGCTTTTCCCAATCGCCTTGCAGGATATCCTCATCGCTGACTTTGGCCAGACGGACAAGCTCGCGCCGGACGTAGCCGACGAGGGTGAGCATCGTCTCCGGGTAGGCGAGGTACTGTTTGATGGGTGTTAGAGAATGTGTTTGGGCCTAGGATTAGGAGGAGGAAGGAAAGGAGCAACATCCAGGGAAAATGTATGGACGCATAAAAGAAGTGCACGCTGCTGGCGACATAGGAAAAGAGGAGGGCCCAAAAGAACGTCAGGCCCGCGACATGGCGAGCAGCTGGGAAAATATGGCAAGGGATCGAAGACAAGAAAAGAGTGGAATGAAGAAGAAACCAGGAACTCACCTTGTCCACCTCCTCAGGCGGGAAGTCGTGTACGCCTGACCCATCGTCCGTCCTCTCCTCCTTCTCGAGGTCCACCTTGGAAAGGTTCACGACCTCTCCTCCAACCAAGTTCACCGCTCGTCGGAAGTAGCCATTTGTCCCAGTCACATCCGGAGCTGGAAACCAGCTTAGTCCCCAAAGACATGAGGCTAATGAAGCTCACCGGAAGAAGACGGCAACACAATCCCACTCGCACCTCTGGCACCCAACAGATTCCGCCAAATAGCCGCTGCGAGCTCCTGGTCCGACTTGACGAGCCCGAGCGAGAGCGAGATCCCCATGCCCATCCACTGCTCCTTGAAGATCTTCATCTGCCGAATCACGATCCTATCCGGTGCCCTTCCTCTTGGTTTCACCTTCTTGGGCTTGCCACCCTCATCTCCGTCTGGTAACGGGGCGTAGGGGTTGAGGTAGAATGTTGAACTGAAGGTGTATGGTGTCGGGAGCTCAAAGGAGGTTGGAGGTTGAAGGACAGCGCGGATCCGGTCCTCGACGTCGATGAAAAAATGGTCGAGCAGGGCTTGCTCGTAGTGTCGTGCGTGCTCTACGGGGAGCGCACGTAGGCGAGCCGTCAGGAGCCATACGTGGAAGTTGGTAACGGTAAACCAGGACTGGAAGGTCGGAGGGAGGTGACATGCTGGAATGATGGCAGAGTAAGCAAACACAGTCTTTGGCCGTTGAACGAGAGCAAACAACACTGACAGTTTCTCCAGAACGCCTCCTCCTCTTCTGGTCGAGGGGCGCACACGTCCTTGTACAAGACGAAAGCACGTCTTCCAGCCAGCTGCTTCGGACTACCATATCCCAGCAGGTTCGTTAAACCGAGAAACACCCGTTTCGCTGCAGGCGAAGACTCCACTTTCCGCGTCAGCCAGGACTTTGGGGGCGGCCCTTCGGAATTGGCCCGAGTCGGGATCGAGGATGAAGTGGGTGACGCGGGTGAGGGTTTAGAAACCGGGTTTGGTGTTTTTGATGATGAGGAGGATGGTGGGGACGGCGTCTTTGTCTTCCTCTTTTGCACGGCCTGCGTGGCAAGAGACCTTACCGGGCTCCTAGAGAGCTGCGCAGGTACAGGTAGCCGATGAGGGGAGAAGCGGCGTAGCAAGAGCGACCGAGGACGCATGGTGGTAAAGAGACTCGGAGGGAGAAGGCAGCTCCAAGGGATTTCCTTTCGCGGACGAGGACCTATTTGGAAGACCTTTTTACCTGTATATGGTAATTTTGCTCCAATAACCGTCGAAAAACTAGCTCCCGATTGATTATGCGCCAGCTTTTTAATATGTTCCGCCACATGAATGGCAAAGAAACGGCCCAGATTATTTGGCCTTGCACCCCGTGCCAATAGGGTACAAGTTAAAATATTATCGCTGCAAAACGGCAGGAATTATTTCGGAATTAACGGGTCAAAGCAAAAGATAATTCAACCAGAAGTATAAAAGAATCATGGTGACATTTTGGAAGAAACAAACATACTTACATATTTCTTTTATAATTCCTTTGTTTCCTCAGGCTATAATTCCTCTATATTTTAGCCCGAGTTATTCTGCATGAGGTCCCGATAATTCCTACATAAATCCATAATACATATTATTTCAGGTGAAAATATTTAACCGTGCGCCCCGCGGATACCATTCGCGCGATCCTAGAGTATATCTTTGGATGTCGTCTTATCGGTATCCGTCCACCAACATAGCTACTAGGGATTTTGGGCGCT